CAAGAGCAATTTTATGCGAGAATTTACATGTAAAATGCCGCGGGCCAAGACCGGGATAACCGTTTTGCGCGAGCCTGCGCATTCGACATGCAAATGGGCACATGTCAGAACAGCAATTTTATGCGAGAATCTTCAGGTAAAATACTGCAGGCCAAGACCAAGACAACCGTTTTGTGCGAGCCTGCATGCTCGAAATGCACTTGGACTTGTCGCTAATCACTAAGGCCATTTTTATGCGAGAATTTACAAATAAAATGCCGCAGACCAAGACCGGGACAACCGTTTTGTGCAAGCCTGCGCGCTTGAAATACACTTGGAAATGTCACTAATTAGAGCAATTTTATGTGAGAATTTACACGCAAAATGCCGCACGCGGCCCACACCTTGTGCTAGCCTGCGCAATCGAAATGCACATGGACATGTCACGAGAACCCGGTGTATGCGAGAATTTGCAGAAAAAATGACGGAAAACAGATGGAGCACCCTGATCAAGCCTCGGCCTTAACTCCTACAGTAAGAACCCCTGAGTGTGGACACACTGTTTGGAGAAAAAAGGTTGAACCCCCCTCCGAATCGCATGCAAGCTTGATGCTGTCCTACGACATGGGGTTGGACTGAGGATCGGGTGAGGCAAGCTATCTGCTATCATTGCCGGAACCGCAAACCCTGGCGGATGTAGGCACGCAGCGTTCGGCCGCTCAATGATAGACGAATATAGACGATCAAAAGGGAAGTACGCCCACAACAGTCTACCTCAAGGCAAGGGTTTGTGAACCTAAATGAATCCAATGATTGCAGGATCGTGACACACCTGCATGTACGTACGTACATAGGTACCCGATCGTGATCGTATACGTATCCAAGTATGTGTTTTTGGATCTATGTTTGTATGTCGGAATGTACCACGCAACTATGCACAACACAATGTGTGAATGCACGTGAATGATTGGACTCATCGGTTTCTCTGGTGAAGAAACAGCAGCAGGCGGGCCAGAGAATGACTTGCTCCAAATTAGAATAGTGAACAGTGGAATAAGCAAATAGATTTGCCCGATGCACATTGATTCACACCATCCTTTCCTAAATCTACAGTAGCAGGACTGAAGCACAGCAGCGGCTGATGAACGTCTTATGAGCTAACATCATCATTTACACCACTAGGTTATAGTACCGCACAAGGCGGTGGCAGAAGTTTCAAAAATAGGAAACCTATAGGAGAGATTGGTTGTTGTGAATCACGGATGGCAGAGCGAATCCACTGATGGACCGAAAGGCGGTTGGAGTTGTGATTTTTGGAACGGTTGCAATGGTTGCAGTGGTCACCTTTCCACAACTGCTGGATGTAGTGGATGTAGTGTGGTGTAGTGCAGTTGTAGTTGTAGCTGTAGTTGTAGTGGAGTTGTAGTTGTAATTTGTAGTTCTGTGTAGCGTATTTGCAGTTGATCTTGCAGTTGTAGTTCTGGTGTGATGTAATTAATCCTTTCCCCCTAATACTAAACGTTCCCCCCTATAAATAAACACCTCAGGTAGTTTTTAGTATTAGGTGGGTATTTATTATTAGGGAACCCTATTAATAAAATTAAACCCTTAATAATAAAAACTATTTTTTCCGATCTCGAAATCAATGAAATTTCCTTATATAACGCAATTCAAAAAAATTGCCCCCCCAAAAAAAGGATTTTGGAGCGGATCCTATTAATAAAATTAAAACCTTTATAATAAAAACTAGTTTGTTCGATTTCAAAATCAATTCAATTTCCTTATATAACGCAATTCAAAAAATTGCCAAATAAGAGTTCGAAGCGGACCCTATTAATAAAATTAAAACCTTAATAATATTTTTTCGATTTCAAAATCAATTAAATTTCCTTATATAACGCAATTCAATTAAATTGTTTTCGAAGCGGACCCTAATAAGAAATGAAAAGCTCTAAAATAAAAAAATCAAAAAAATCGGACGGACCCTAATAATAAACACCCCGGGGTTGACTAGTTTTTAGTATTAGGGGGCAAAACCCACAAATGGCAGCTTAATTTTTAAATTGTTTTCTAAAGGGGATCAATTAAAAGTCAAACTGGCCAATCTGAAATTTTCCAACATTGGAGATGGACCCTAGTTTTTAGTATTTGGGGGACGTTTAGTAATAGGGGGAAGGGATTAATGTAGTATATATACATTGTAGTGCACTGTAGCGTACTGTATTGTAGTGTACTGTAGTGTGGTACAGTGTAGTGTAGTCTAGTGTAGTGTAGTATAAAGTAGTGTAGTTGTAGTCGTAGTGTATTGTCATTAGTGTAGTGTAGCATAGTGCAACGCAGTGGTAGTTGTAACTGCAGTTGCAGTTGTAGATGTAGTGTACTGTAATTAGTGTAGCGTAGTGTTGCGTAGTGATGTGAAATGTAATGTAGTAGTTGTAGTTGCATGTATATTTGTAGTTGTCGCGTGCTGCAATGTAATTAGTGTAGTGCAGTGAAATGTAGTGTAGTTGTAATTGTAGTTGTGGATTTATGGTGGTGGTAGTAGTAGTAGTAGTAGTAGCAGTAGTAGTAGTAGTAGAAGTAGTAGTCGTAGTAGTAGTTGTTGTTGTTGTAAATGTTGTAGTTGTAGTAGTTGTAGTAGTTGTAGTCGTTGTAGTCGTTGTAGTAGTTGTAGTAGTTGTAGTAGTTGTAGTTGTCTGTCTATCTACCTAATCTATGAATCTATCGATCGATCTATCTATCTATCTGCCTAGCTGCAATCTGTAAGCTTGAAAAACGCGGCAGTTCTGCGAGACATCCTCAAATTTTGAACTTGAAAAACGAAACAATTCTGCAAGACGTCCTCACTTTTTGACAACATCAAAAAACGAGACAATTCTGCGAGACTTCCGCAATTTTCGAAGTTGACAACATCAAAAATGAAACAATTCTGCGAGACCCTTCAAAAGTGGAATGTTGAGTGCAGAGCTGACGGCCTCGTACCAATGCGTTTTGCGGTTTTTCCACTCCATCTGTCTAAAGTTCTGCGCCTGCCACGAAAAAGAGATGCCATGTCATACGAACTGCTGCACCTGTCGCGCAAAATCATCTTCCCAAAACTGAAGATCTGATGCTCCAAAATGCAACCCTTCTCAGGAAATCAGCGCCCGGACCTCCTAACAGCTCTGATGAACATGTCTCTTGTACTGCCCCTGCCACGCGAGATGCACTTGCCATATCCTCTGCATATGTCCCACACCTGCCATCAGTTTTGAAACTGCTACAAAACCCTCACGTTTTGCTCACTTTTGACAAGGTGCCCAATCCCTTGCGCCTGCCACGCGAACGACACCTGAACGTCCAAAAGTGCTCCGTACCCATCAGTTTTTTGCACTTTTGACTTGGAAATGTGCTTCGCGCCACAAAGGCGCGCACTTTTTCGACATCTCAACTTCCAAAAGTGGTCCGAACATGAGGTGGTTTGCACATGTTTACTTGGAAACGTGCTTCGCGCCACAACGGCGCGCACCTTTTCGACATCGCAACTCCTAAACGTGCTCGGGAGCTGAAGTGTGTTGTACATTTTGACTTGAAATGTGCTTCGCACCACAACGGCGTGCAACTTTTCATCTCTCATCTGACCACATCGCTCCGCACCAGCCGCTTTAGCGAGCCTACTTGTCGACCCTCCGGAGCCACAAATCATTGGAAAAACACAGTGTTTCGCGACTTTCCTACCTTTTCGCGCACCTGGATCTTTTTTCTTCGGAGACTTTCTCTTTTTGATCTTCTTTCTTCTTCTCTTCTCTTCTCTGACTCTTCCCATCTCTGCTTTTCATCTGTCCATATTGTCGGAAGTTTGACTTCCAAACTTCCTTCGATCATCAATTTATTTCGTTCGAATTCAAAGCTGCCAAATATGTTCCACCAGTTTTTAGATACCAGGCTCTGGAAACCTCTAAAGAACCGCAAACCTACTGTAGAGATCTGTAGGGTCAGTCTGGAACGTAAACTGTGCGCATGCTGCGGCGCTTGTGACGTGAATTGACTAGCCAAACGAAGGCCATGCATGTGACCCACCGACCCCACGCAAATCACGAGCGCGCCTGTGGCTAAAGAATGGGGCCTGCAGTCTGCGAAAATTGCTAAGCCATCACAAACCACGACAGCCAAAATGGAAACGCAACAAATGTGTTTTGCATGTCGGTTCCAACTCCGCACTTGAAAATGGTGGCCACAGCGAATTCTTGAAGCGGCACTCAATGCACTCCGCAGAATCCCTTGATCTGGCACTCAGGAGGTTAATCACAGCAACAAGCAACTTTTTTGGCTCTGTGCATTCTGGCGAGGGGTCTGTTGTCAGACAGTGGTGGCAAGGCTGGTGAGGCATGGTCAGCCCAGAACATACCACAACTTGACTTCCAGAAAGGCTCGTTGCTCAGGCCTCAAGGTTGCATGATGATGTTTAGTCGGGTACCACACAGCCTAACCAGCACTGTAGGCCCTGGCTCATCTGGCTCCCAAAAAAAAGCGATTGGTAGACTCTTGAAGTCTTGGCAACTTTGGATACTTTGGCACATTGAGCGCCAGCCCACCGACTTTGTTGAAAAAGAAAGCTGAGCACCCTCCTGGGCACAGGAAGAGATCACAATACCGTCCATTTACCCTCGATACATGAACAACTTCTCTTGACCTGTTTGTATGGGTCAAATTTGGGCACCCCAAAACTTGAATGGCGCATACCAAAAAATGCGGCCAAGGCAGGCTTTGTTTCCTGAGTTCAAATGTTTAAAAGAACCATAGTCACATTTTGATCTGTAAAATGTCGAGGATGTCGAGTTCGATGTTGACACGGCATCTGCTCTCTCTGCAAGCTCTCTGAGAGGCACATGTAGACTCAGTAGACGGTACGTGTTTGAAGTGATACAAGAGCCTGTAGGTGAGTCATGTGTTTCTTTCCCAAAATGGACCTGCAATTGGTCTCTGTTAGGAGGACTCTCCACATCACGTCTCTATCGGACATATAATGACATATACCATGTGCCAATCACAGGGTCTTGTATCGCTATATAATGCGTCCCCTTGTCGAATTATCTTTTGCTTTGCAAAGGTGCTGAATGACCAGGCCAAAGCCCGCGAGCGGTCGTGAGCAAACATGATCAAACCACCACGATCTTCCGAATTAGATCAATCTTTAGATTCTTATCCGATAATGGGCAAGAAAATGTCCGGCATGCAGCATCACATCACCGTACATCAGCGAAGAGTCTGAGTGAAAAGGCGGTCAGTTCACGTCACAGACCAAAAATGAAACTGAAAAAGGTCTCAGTACCAATGCCTTCGGCAGGCACTGATGATTGTCGAGAAATTTAACCCAAGATACAGTATATAAATTGCCGTATAAGTGCTGTATATTTCTGCTGCTGCTCCCTGGTTCCCATCAGAAGTACTCGGACACATTGTCTGCATGACTCTGTGAACTCTGTGAGTCACTCTTGATGCGGGAGCGTTTCTCGTTCATGATATCCGCAAGAAACCCATCTGACAAGTCTTCTTCCGAGATCTCCGCGAGGTACCCGGCACTCCCTGGCCATGCGGCAATGCAACCGCATCTTCGTGTGCAAATGGCATCTTGTTTTAAGATTTGTCTGCGTTTCATGCCAAAACTCACTTGTGTCCAACAAACACAAGGGAGTACAAGGGATTAGGAATATTGCAACCTGGATCAAGGGGTGTAGGATGGTGCAGGCAGTGTACGGTTCAATCAAAGATGATGTTAGACCAAGATAGTGTGATAATGATGGTCTCTCGTTGAATGCGTGGTCAGGTGCTGTAATGGTAATGGTCAGGCAATGTCAGGCCTGCGCCAGATTGAATAAGAGATGGAAGGCGACCAAAGAGAGTCGAATCAAATGATGCTGTCGGATCTCCTGCTACTCCTGCTACTCCTGCTACTCCTGTCTCACCCTCCACCACTCTGTCCGCCCTCTCGTCCAAGACCAAGCCCGTCATGCCGTCTTTGTAGCGGGGAAACCTTAAAGGATATTTCATGAATGCGGGAAAAAACATGAGCGTCATCTACATTTTAAGGTCCCAGGCCCCGGTTTAAAATTTTGCTGCGTCGGAAAATATTCTTTACTACCTGCCTCTTTGCCAGGCAGCCGTCCACAGATCTCGTGAATTTGTTTCTCAATGAGGCCGTGTGAACCATGAGGCGTCAAAGGTAAAGCTAGCAGCTGAAGCAAATAGCGATAAATCTTCTCCAGTTTTTGCCCGAACTGGCCAAGGTCATGGTTGCCAAGAGCATTGCAACAGTCCATAAAGGTTCTAGTTTTTTGATTGACAAAGCATTTTGTAATTTATTCAGAGTTGAAACTCCGAGCTGAAACTAAGGAATGATGAGCGAAACTGAGCATAACACTCCGGCCCACAGTCTAGCCTCTCGACCCATCCCGAGACCATAAACTGAAATCTCGCCGTAGAAATCCGCCCCCGGAAACTCAAAGCGAGTGTCCTCACCAAAAGCCAAGTGTTCATAATGTATAGGAATGTGTCGTAATCTTGTCTTGGGATGTTTTAGGAGTGGTTGTTGTCTAAACTTGAAGCGGGTCTAAGTTGCATCTCGCAAACCGGTAATTTTTGTAGATTTCTGCCATACGTGCATCTAACAATGTCAACCTACACGCACAAATACACACGACGCAGTGACATGTATATTATATATATATTTGTAAACGTATTTATGATGAATTCGATTGGTTAAGTATATATATATATATAAACATGCTATATACATCATATAAGCAAGTATACATATATGTATGCAAATAGATTTGCATTTACATATAATATCATATAAATACATAAACCACACACATATATATGTATATATATACAAATACAATCAAATACATAAATCCACATGTATATATATATATATAAACATACATGCATGCTATTGAACATGCACGGTAGACATACATACGTACATTACGTTACGTTACATTACATTGCATTGCATTACATTACAGTACACTACATTACCTTGCCATATATTACATTACATTAAATAAATTACATCATATACATTCGAAGAATACATTACTACATTACATACATACATTACACAGATATGAACATTAAACTACACTACACTGCATGACATTCCGCTACACTACACTGTACTACATTATATTTTACATTATCCCTACCGTTTTGGCAGGGGGGGACCTCCCCCAAATGTAACTTACATTTAGGGTAGGTAAAACCTTCGAAAATATAACTTACATTTTGTGAAAAAAAACCATGCAATCAGCACCTTCAAAAATGTAAGTTACATTTAGGGTCGGGTAGGTCCCTCTGAAATTTTGGAGGGACCTGAAAAATGTAATATTACATTTTTGAGGTAAAACCTTCCTAAATGTAACTTACATTTTTGAAGGTGCCATTTCTGTGGAAGCCTCTGTTCCTCAAAAATTGTAAGTTACTTCTTGGGACGTCACCAAGCATTGGGCCCTCATGGGATAAAAGAAAGAAGTATAGGTAACAGTTACCCCCAAAAGCATATAGTGGTACCCCCAAAAGGGAGGGAAGGGGGGAAAATGTAAGTTACATTTCCCCCATCCCCGCCCTCCCATCTCCATAGTCACTACGTGTGTGTATTCCTGGGGAATACCTTGAATTTGCTTTGACCAGGACCATACCTAGGGGGGTCATAGCTTACATTGTTCACCCTTCCGAAACCTGGATTCCTGGTACCTTAGAGATTTTAAGTTACAATTACCCCCCCCTAAAAACAACCCGAAAAATGTAAGTTACGTATTGTAAGGTGCCCCCCAAAAAAACTAGGTTAAGGGGGTGGGGATTTTACATTACGTTGCAAGACAATACATTGCATTACATACATACCTACCTACTTGCCTGCCTGCCCACCTACCTACATAACATACATAAACTATATAACACACACATACCCTACATACGTGCATGCACGCATACATGCATGCATGCAAACATACAAACAATTACAAACATACATACATCCATCCATCCATCCATCCATCCATCCGTCCGTACACACATACATAGGCATCCATGCGCACCTTTTTGACTCCAGCGAAAGGCGGGAGGTTTTGCAAGCTGTGAAAATGCCACAGCTTCCTCTGAAATTCTGCATTCAAAAATGATCCTGATATCTTTTCCATGGCAGGAAAAGTTCACATAACTCAAATCACATCACAACGGTTCGAAAGACAAATTTGGCCTTTCCATGGCAGGAAAGTTTTCCGGTATCATATGAAGATGGGTCATGGCAGACCCCAAGAAAATGAAAAACATCTGAAAAACGCATTGGAAAACAGCATCTCCGTGTCCACACCCAAGAGGCGGGTGAGGCCGGGCTAAAAGAAATTGGACTTTGAGATAAATATCGCAGAGAGTCAGGTACGATGTTCAGCCTAAACTTCTACCAGAAAGTCTAGGCATCCATGCGCACCTTTTTGACTCCAGCGAAAGGCGGGAGGTTTTGCAAACTGTGAAAATGCCACAGCTTCCTCTGAAATTCTGCATTCAAAAATGATCCTGATATCTTTTCCATGGCAGGAAAAGTTCACATAACTCAAATCACATCACAACGGTTCGAAAGACAAATTTGGCCTTTCCATGGCAGGAAAGTTTCCGGTATCATATGAAGATGGGTCATGGCAGACCCCAAGAAAATGAAAAACATCTGAAAAACGCATTGGAAAACAGCATCTCCATGACCCCCTACTCGACGCTTTCTGCGTTGAAGGGTCTCCACTTGTCAAGTAAAAATTTTGCCTTTGCTGAAAAAGTCAACCCCGGCAGGAAACTCAGGCCATCTTGTAAATAAATTCGGGCCACACGTGATGATCCCCACCTTCCTTTGAGCAGGGTGAGCTCCATAGAGCCAGAAATTTGAAAAACATGAGTTGCTCCACCGCGTCTTAATGAATACGGTCTGAAACAGTGAGCTTGAAGATCAAAGACTTTCAGGTAAAAAGAGAACTTGTTTCTGAAGTTCTGCGCAGTGTTGGTCCAAATTGGGACCTTTGATAAACCTTGGGAGTTCCGCAGCAGTAACACCTGTTCAAGGGCGTCGACAGTAAAGATGTCTTCCAGAGTGATTGATTCAGTGGCTGCATCCCGTTTGCCTGTTTTGGTGGTCTCTAAGGTAATGATAGCCCGGGACCTGGAGAGTAGGATGTTGCACGGCTTGACCAGCAACAACTCCCCTGTGCGGAGCAAACCAAAGAAGCCAAGCAATAACAAGCCTCCAAAAATCAAATCATTATGCATCAACGCGTAATGAGCAATGGAATAAATGATGTATTTTGTCAGTGGTGGAGCTCGATTTGGAGCTTCTAATTTTCTCCACGTTCGAAAAAGCTTCCAAGCAGAGGGCACCAACTTTTTGGTGTAGGGTTCAAAATGATGTAGTCCGCACAACGCGTCAGATACTACATGCAAAGTTTCACCTGCAACCCACTGGGCCTCAACCCAGTCTGCAACCATGTCATCCAGTTGTTGATTGCATCTAACCTTTTCGAGTACAGGTAGCAAACGCCTGACAGCTATGTGGTAACGCTCTTGCGTCCGTTCAGAGATTGCTGCATCGACGAGGAGGATATTCTTTCTTTGCTTTCTCCTTTCTGCTTGGGTTCGTTTAGCTAGCAGTTTAGGTCTCCCGACTGGCATGATCCGTCGGGTTACTGGACGATTCTACATGTCCCAGTACCAGCGTCACGCCATGTATCAATAGGACTGCGTTCAAGGACTTCACTAACCTGTTGAGAAAACGGCTGCCGGAACGTCCCTTTGCCACCACCGACATGCAAACATATGAGTCAGTTTTATGAAAAAGCCTTACATTGCACAGCTTTAAATGAGAAATCGAAAAGAGGACAGCTTGCTGAATAGATCGCAACTCCAACGCATTTATGTGTTCTGTGTGCTTCCATTTCAGTTTGAAACAATGTTGCCACTGCCACCATGATGCCTCCACACTCTGTCTTGGGAACGCTTTAGGGTTAATGATATCCCCTGTGGTTATTCTGATGTCCGAGCCTGTATGGTTGACCCGTGTCAAAAGCACCCGATTCAACTCATGCAGAGGGGAAGACAAATTGAAATGTGAAAACCCATATTGCAAGCTACGCCCAAGTGGTGCTTTCAATCTCCAGGAGGCTCTGTAACCCGGTGCCATCCCCATACGCAAGCACAAATGTTGATAACTCAAGCTTGGGATGAACTTCTTGCACAAAGCAGCGGCTGCGATTACAAATGAGTACACACTGAAACAGTCCCCCAAGAGTGACAACCTGGCATTTTCATATGCTGCTAAAGACTGTTTCTGCTTGCTAGCGCTAAAACAGAGAGAAGTATGCTTGTATCCATATCCCAAGAGAAGTTCACGCTCATCGCTATCTGCCAGTCTCCACTTTTCACCCTTCCAAAACACAAAGCGATCTTGATAATGATATGGAGGAAACTTGAAATGCTCGCTTTGCCATCTCGCCACTGTGTCGGGGTCACATCGTTTTAGACCGGCTGGTTGTGGTGGCGGCTTTGACCTAATGATTGCACGCATGGCAGTGGGGAGAACTTCTCCCTGTGTACCTCCAGGCCAGTACACACCTGGCTCAATCCACTGTTCCATCTCCGGGTATGGTGCTTTTGCTATGAGCTTAGTCCAAAAAGTGTCAGGCTCAAATTCTAACCCCTCTAATGCACCTTCCAACTCTTCGCTGCACCAGCAAAGACGTGGGCGATTCATTGGAACTGCATCAGCGCAATAGAGGTGGTAGGGCCAGGTCTCCAGTTCTTCAGAAATTTGTTCACATTCGGGCTTGCCCATGGACGCTACGTTCTCACCCACAAATTTGACTACAATGTTACCTCCAGCTACTTTCCTCAAGAGTTTTAGAATACGAGGCATCTCAAAGAAAAGCTTGGATTGTTCTCCCTGCAAGCCCTGCCGAAACGCTTTTACTGATGTCAAGTCAGTGCATGGAAAACCTGACCAGAGATGTATTTCAGTGATTCCTACAAATTTCAAGAGCCATGAGCGCACCATTACCTCATCCAGCGTTCTGACGTCTCCATATTGTAATGCTTGTGGCCAGCGCCTGCTGCTGACCCTGTTGGCTGGCCCATGAATTTCGAAGCTTACCATTCCCATAGGTCTTATTCCCAATATATCGTAACAGCGGAAACTTCCGCCGATACCATGAAACAGTGACACCACCAAAATGGGAGCAGTTGCTTGAGCATCCATTCCTGATTTACTGGCGGCTACAAAGTCTTGTCCCTCTGATGACAACTCATACGCAATCCCAACTGCTCCTCCCGTGTTTGAAGCATCTGAGGCTGTAGTGACTTGGCTGACAGTGGCTCCCAAATTCGTTTGAAAGAAAGGTGTTGCACATACTATGGCCCACAATTCACGACGCACTCTGAGCACCAGACCCAAATCAAACTTTTTGCTCCCCACATATTCCCAAGTCGCTTCAAGGAAGGACATACCAGGTCGTCTAAACTGTAGTATGTGGATCCAACGCCCTGCTATCACTTGAACATGTTTCTTAGACAAGTGGGTGCGGCTCAAAACCCACAAAGTAGCTTGCATCACCCGCAGCAGGCGGTTGGGAGATCCACCTATAGTATTTGTTGCTCCGCTGACAAGTGCTCCAAGTTCTTCCGCTTCAACAACACCCCTTTTCCGCTTTTTCTCTGAAGATACCACTTGGGCTTTCTGCCAAGCGGTCTCTGCTAGTTCATGCAAACGTTCTCCCCCAATCGTCTCTTCTCCTTTGTCCACAATCTGACCCCCAGCGTAGTTGTCTAAATAGACATGCCACCACGATCGATTCTGCCGCTTTGCCTCTTTTAACAGTCCTACCATCCAGAGAGGGACAGCTCGATTCCGTACCACCTGTTCAGCTTCACTCAAAGACCCTTGCAACAAGATTTGTTCGCTGACTTCTTGCATGATTGCGACCGATGACAGCCATCCCATCGGTAACACACAACAACTCAAGGCATATCGTACCGCAGGATCTTTTCCGATCTCGTTTCCCCATCTCAAAATGTTGAAAGATAAACAACGACGCCATTGGTGAGGCAAAGCAAAAAGATAGAACGCATTACACATGTCCGATTGCCAAATGCGTACTTCTTCTTTTCCTTCAGTCACTACAGACATCCAGCTAGTAATGCTGGGTAAATTTTTCACTGCTCCTTCCAATTGCAACATAACAGAGTTAGAAGGGACCAAATTCATGATAACACGAAGGATGGGTTCACCACTGTCAATGGTTGATGTTTCTGGGACTCCAAAAAGACCATTCAACACTGGTTCGCCCCGAAAATGCAGCACTTGATCCAACGGTGTCCAGTCACAAACGCCACGATTCACCAGAACACGTGTGATTCCATCAAGCTCCCCTGTTTCCACATGTATACGCCCTTGCAACTTAGGCAATTTCTGACCCTTATCCGGCAAAATACAAAGTTCAGGCTCCCTCAAAAACCTACCTGTCACAGGCGACACCCACTTCAACAAGTCAATGCATCCACCATGTTCTTTGGGGGGAAGTGCAGGTTCAATTTGTCTTAAAGTAAGTTTATGACAAACACCAATCTCTTCTCCCTTGTAGTTGACCCTGGCAAGCTTGACATCTTTTTCGATTGCATCTAGGGTCACTGGCTCTTGCGTCCCATGCCCCAACAACCGGTCGGTCATCTGGTGCACGGTCTGAAAGGCGCTCGCTTCTGCTTTGATCCATCTACCTTGTTCCAGTAGTTTCTGCCTCCCGACCAGAGTATTGCAAGCGTAGCACGCAAGGTATGTCCAGCAATCCCCAGCATGTTTCTTTGCAAAATCTTCTCCCGCTGCTTCGAGCAGAGAAATCTTGAGCAGTTTGTCTCTAAGCCCGGCTAACTCACCCTCTCGAATAGGCAGAGCCAAACGTTTCCGCCCGGCTCGAAACCTCTCGCTGGAGTTAAATAGCACCGACCAGAGTGATGAATTCTTCACACCGTCCTCGCGATGCCCAACATGCAGTAAAGTCCAGGCCAGGACACATCCTGTGCGTTCCAATGTGTCACACAGCTGCAGGACTGACAAAAAGCTCAAGGGCTGATTAGTCGGATTCGTCTCTGACACAACACTGTCCAACCGCGGGTACCCTGCCTTGGCAGCGATGGCAGAGGGCTCCAAAGGAGTCGGGTTCGTTTCTGACACAACACTGTCCAACCGCGGGTACCCCGCGTTGGCAGCGATGGCAGAGGGCTCCAAAGGAGAAATCTCCGCAACGGCCTTGACCAGCGAAGAACCTTCAGCCACGGCTTGTACCAGCGAAGGCAAAACTAGCCCTTGGGTTTCTCTTCGGTCTTTTCCTTGTTCTTCTCCCATTCTTTTGTCCTGGACGCCTCCCATCCTGGCCTCTGATCCCATTTTCCTCGGCCTCCTTTCTTTCCTTTGCCTTTTCCTTTGTTCTCTCCTTTGTAATCGCCCCGCCCATCTCCAGAGTTCCAATCGCTGCGCCCCTTCCCCCCTCGGCCACGGCCAGCACTCGGAGTCCAAGTGCTGGGAGGAGGGCCTTGAACCTTGGAGATGAGCCGAGCGTGTTTTCGGGTGGCCAGCAAGGCCGCTGCCCCTGCTGCGCTGGCCTCCTCCAAAGGAAAGAGCTCGAGGTGCTTGGCCATCTGCCACGAGCATCACGAGCCATCTACGAAGCTTTGATGTATGGCGATGAATCTCGCCGCCAATCCGTCGGCTGCCCTGGCTAAGTCTCCTTTTCTGACCAAGTCCAAACAGGCGGCCAGATGATGAAGTTCTCGCATCTCCCGCAATTGATGCGGATAGCTGCTCTTCACGTGCAAGTTGAAATATGTCATCACCTTCACGCCGCTGGTCATGGTCGAGCTCGGGTGCCCCAGCTCGGTCAAAGCGCTCTGATCCAACTGTTCCTGTATGTGGCTGACAAGCATCCTGAGGACGGACCCTGGATGGTCCCTTGACTTCTTTCGCAATGGGGCCTCTAAGTCTTCGTCGCTTGACACTGCCTCGGAGACCTCGTCGCTGTAGGAGCTGGAGTTGGAACTGCAGCTCACGATCGTTCCATCCTGTAATTTCCTCTTCTTCTTGGAGGTCTTCTTCTTCCCTTTCTTCTCTTTCTGCTCCCCCTCCGGTGTCCTTCCAAACACTTTGGCTAATGCTGCAGTGAGGTTCTCCATATCCGTCTTCTTCGACTGCTTCTTCTTTTTCCTCTTCTTCTCGGCTGCCCTCTGAGTCTTCGCTGCTAAGGCCTGTTTCAACAATTGGCCGCTCAAGCCTTTCAAAGTGGAATCTTTTGTATCCTCCAGTGGCAGAGCGTCTCGATGATGTCGATGGCTGGAACGAGGGTGACCTTTGCGGGCTACGGCCTTGGCCAGCGCGCCTGCACCCTCTCCCAGATTTGCCCCTGTTGTCAGGCGTTTCTCCGGAGCACAAGACGAACCTTCGTCCTCTGACCCACTGCTGACATCCTCTGCGACAGGGGTCCCCGGGCTGTAGCCATCTTCGGCCCGTATGGTGCCAGGATCTTGCAATCGCTCTCGAACTGCTTTGAGGCGGCTCCGTAGCTCTTCTCTGGTTGCCTTCTCCTCTTCCTTCTTCTTCGGCTTTCCTCCTTTGCCAGATGTCTCCGGCTCCTCTTCTTCTGCGGCATGCTCTCGCTTTCTGGGCCCCTCTTTCGCCTTTGGTGTCTTGGTCTCTTTCTTTCTCCCAATAGGTTTCTCTTTCTCTTTGGGAGGATTTCTGGAGCGGCGCCCAGGTGTGCTTGGCATCACTGCTTCTGTCGCTTTCAACCAATCTACACCAGCGTCTAAACTGCTTGCGGCTACATACTCCTGAACTGAGATGAACCTGTCCCAGCTCCATAGCCGGATCCGGGTCACATGCATGAAAGGAGTGTCTGCATCGTCCTTCTCTTCGGTCATGAGACATGGTCTTGTCAAACATAAATGAATGCGGCGTCGAGCATCGTTGAACTGCCCGTCCAAAACCTGAGAATAGGGAGTGTCTTCGGCGCCCAAATGGCGGCACTCCAGAACAATGGAACCATCCAACCTTGTAGAAACCCTTCCAATCAAAAATGCTGCCCAAGCAAACGGAGGATCGTGAGTGTCTGTCTCGGGCAGGAAAACTTCCAAAACTTGTCCTCTGACTGGTGACAATGCGGCCCATTGCACCCGATCTTCTGGCGAGATCTCGGCTCCTTCGCCGCCGAAAGACGCCATTGCTTACCCAGACCTGTCCAAGGCCTGTCGTCCTTGTGCCACTGATGAAAGTTCCAACAAACCAGGTCCAGCTTTTCGATGAACTCGGGTATTGGGGTCCTCTGCCAAGCGGTGCAGGCGTTGGTGATTTCGCTTCCCAATCACCTGAAGCCTCTTCTGTTGGTTCCTCCTTATTAGGTGCTGGAGGAGGAGGAGGTGTAGGAAGTTCAGGCCGCCGACGAGGCAGGGATTCACGACTTCTGTCAGCTGCCCTACCAGGAGTTTCGGCTCTTTCTGAACCTGGCCTTACTGATCTAGCTCGGCTCGCACCAGCTGAACCAGACAAGCCCCCACCCACAGCAACACCTGCGCTTAGGGATCTCAAGGCTCTAATCTGCCTTCCAATGTTCAAGATCAGATCGTTTGCTAAAACCTTAGCACCAGGGATATCCCAATGAGCGCAAAGCTCACGACCGGCTGCCTCCCAGCCTGTGCAGCCTGCACACCAAAGATCCCCCTCAAGCGCTGCGGAATGGCGACACTTCGGACAAATGGGTGGGGGCATCTACACCCTAAAAGAAATTGGACTTTGAGATAAATATCGCAGAGAGTCAGGTACGATGTTCAGCCTAAACTTCTACCAGAAAGTCTATAAAAAATATATCCTTGAACATGGGTGTGAGGAAAAAAAACTAGCGCAAACCTAGCGGGTTTGCTAGCGCTGCCTTGCAGAATTGGTGAACTTTGTTGCGTGCCGCCTCATAATGAAGAGGAAAAAACAGAAGGTCCACACTGACTATAATCAACAACGAGTATATACAACACTTCCGTCAACTATTTTTGGCAAATGGTCATATGCATGTATATATGCATGCATGCATCCATAACTAATCTATATACAGTGTGTATATATATATATTATATACATATGTGTGAGAGGGAGAGAGAGGGAAGAAAAAACAGGGACAAAGGTTTGAGTTGACATATTCGTGTTTTTCTGACCAGTTTCAACGCAAACACGCAAGAGCCAAGCCACAGATTCGGATGGTCCAACATCTGGAGGATAGTGATTTCAGTTTCGCACTCCTTCTGCAATCGATCATCCAAGTCATGAGTGACCTCGTAGTGGCACACAAAAACAGCCATTGGCCTTGAGGCCTCAATTGTATTCAATTGTGAACACGACGAATGAACAAGAGAATGAACAAGAGATAACAAAACCAGTTCACTTCACAAAACCGAGGTCCTGCAGTTTGGTGGCTGCACTGGCACACTGGGTACCCATCGTTGCACTTTTGCTCTCTTTCCACAGTACATCACAGTACATCCTAAGGAGATGATGATGGGAGCTAAAGTGACGAAAGCCTGCGTTGCCAGCAAGGCGCACGCTTTATGGCAACTACCGCACCTTGGACTGCATAGCTCTTGAAAGGGTATGAGGCGAGATAGGCAAGGGTTTGCCAAATAAGGATTCCATGACTTGAGTGAACCAAAGCCAAAACGGAGAGCTTTGGACAGAAAAGTATCGTTTGCGAAAGAGGCCTGCAATACGCACAGCGATAAGTGCAAACAGGCCACAGGTCTCCATGTACGTGGCTTCCTTAGTTCATGTTGTCACATGTCAGACATGTCACATGGACTCGACTTTGACGGCCAAATATGCTGAACCACAAAAGCAATGCTGCTGCCATCGCCGCCACCATCCCACATCATCCCACATCATCCCACAACCATCAACAGCAACGGAAACAAGAAAAACAGAAGGGCAAAATTCGACAAACTCAACAATGACCCTGCACCAGTTCATCGCACAAGTTCATCCAGGTAGAGGTAGAGGTTTCCGGGCAAAGTCCCAAACACATGCCAAATCCAACTCTTGCCCCCCGAGCCTTCTGACCTACACACGCTTGCACATGTGCAACATCTGGCCAAATATTGTATGCACATGCACTGATCCTACAACTGAGCCCATCGTGGCCCATCCCTACACGTTGGGATTTGCTTCGGCTTTGGCAAGTATCGTTGACCCGCGAGGCATGGCCTCGAGAAATGCAGCGGCCCATTTTGTAAGAGCTCAGAACGTTCATTGCCGTCACCCCAGGCGTGTGACCACGTCATTCACATCAGTGGTTGCCCCGGTTACCGGGTCCACATGGCCAACATGGCCAAAGTTGGTGCGTGTCCATGGCACTGCCCATTGCTGGAGAGCTCATGCACAGGATGCTCTCCATCCTTTATTGTTCAAAGAAGGAAATTCACTGTCACTGTAGCCTTAAAACGCACAAAAGGATGGAAAACGATTGAGAATGCGGATGAAATGGTTTCCAACAAACCATGATAATCGAATTGAGGGAAGCCAAAACACTTGTTGACAAATCTTGTGAAGCATGTTCAAAGTGCCCGAACAAATACTAGCAGCGCAGAAGGGCCACCCAAATCAAATCAAGGCTGGAATATGTTTTTTCTTTGCATCACTACAGCTGTATTTCCTGAATGTCAGAAGGTGGCTTTGAGCGGTGCTCAGAAATTTCTAAAGTGATTTCGGGTTGGGTCTCAGCAGCAGTTCATGCGCATGATAAAGTAGTCTAGATGTAGTATTTATTCATGCTTTTCGGAGTGACAAATAGCTTTCCCGAGCCCATGCCCATGCATCATCATACACTGGGAAACATTAGCGCCATTAAACTACTCTTGATTGATGTGCCGACTTTCGTAGTTCAGTACTCCGTACAAGTAACACAACTGCGCGACTCACTGTTGCAATCAATTGAGATGTTGACTTTTAGGTGGTCTACTGAGTCTACTATGTGGTTCTGTACATGTTCTGAAGCCAAGAAACGGCAAGAAATACAAGCGCTTCAGTCAGCGGTTTAAAGATGTTCAAAGAGGGAGCATGACATGAAGCCATATGAAGCCATGAAATAGCTGTGAATGCAAGATAATGCAAGCATTATAAGCATTGTCTGGTTTCTTTCTGGTTTCTTTTTGTTTTTTTTCTTTGTGTTTCTTGGTGTTTCAGTTTCTGTCCTTCGCATCTCTTCGCGCTCTTTTTGGTGCACCCTTTCTGCGTGACCTCTATGGCACCAAATGCCGCGGATGCACTCGAACCAAGGCCTCCTCTCCTTGCACTTCCTTAAAGCATTGCCACCACCCGGTTGCACATGTACATATTACATATATTACATATACTATATCATATTATATGTTAATATGTTAATATGTTATGTGCCTAAATTTAACTTTAACATATACTTTATCTATCTCTATACATGGTGTTCCTGTGAATGGAAATGGTGACCGTGGTGATACAGCGATAACGTGAGGTGCAAAATTGTGAACAAATCACTTGCTATGACGGACTCACCGTGGCTCACCAAGGATCAACTGCATATCGGCCATCCTGCAGCACCTGTCGCAGGCGCACACGGCGCCCATCCAAACATTGCAGGCGCTTGGCACCTTGGCGCTTTGAAAATCATGGGCATTGACAAATCCCATGGATTTCAACATATTTCAAGCATATTAAAGCTACGGTACTGAGGCAAGGTCATTTCTTCATCCCACCCAGCTGTAGCACAGCCCCAACGGGAAGCTGCACCCTGAAAATGTTGGACATGCAATGCCGGCATGCCGCATAACGGGATTTGCACTGGAATCAATATGTATATATATAATCAATTCAATACACACTTCAATCTACCACATGATGGTGGAGATTGCAGATTGGTCCTTTCATCCGGATAGCTGATAGCTGATAGCTGCTCAAAATTGAATGTATTACACATTTGAGAAGAGAACCCCCCACCACCGTCAGTTGTGCAACTCAAATTGCTCTCAGTTGAAGATATTGATTCCCAGCCTGTGCGGTGCTATCTGCTTCGTCTCGAGCACTTCAGCACTGGGCCTCGGGAGTGAACAAGGATGAACAAGGCACATCTTGGGGAGTGGAGCAGGCACATCTTACCATGCCTGCTATTGCAAGCACAGCTTCCACATCCAAGCCCCGCGCTCTGACACGGCCACCGAAAGAGACTCAATACAACCATCATCTGCCAAGCGCTTGCCCACGAGAATAGCACTTTGCCCTGGAACGGCAACAGTAGCTGCAACCAAGGCGGATCAAAACATATCAAAACCATCACACGCACACATCGGGTCCCCGTCGAAAAAGTGCGGCTCTCTAGCTCTCTGGCTCTGTCGCTTAGAGATGCGCCTGCAAGAGTTGTGTGCAGTTGTTGCGTGAAGGCTCCTGACTCAATCAGCTCCCGATGTCCGTCTGGTCCATCCATCCTGAAATACCCGAACACATTCCGAATGCATACCATTTCCAATTCATTTCCATGTGTGTTTACATTGTTTTACGTTGGAAAGTCATTTTGTGTATATAGTTCCCTCTGTATTTTCTTGCCGATCTATCTGTGAAACTAACTCAGTTAGGCCCTTTGACGTCAAGGTTCTGGACCCAATACTTATCTTCGCTCTGCACAAAGCCATCCTTGCAAACTGCAAGCGAGAATCTCTCGAAAGTTTGGGTGAATCTCTGCATGTTCAGACTAAATGATCAGGCACACCCTCTCTCACATCGCACCAGAAATCCGAGAAATGATCAGGCACAAGAGACAATCTGCAATCGAAAAAAAGTGCCTCATCTAGCGTTTTTATCTAATGCACATTCGAGCTGCGATAGCACCTGTCCTTGCTTCATATCCCGCGGAGTACAGGCTCACCTGCAAATGAGTCTCAAACTTGCCTCTTGCAAAACAGGTTCTCTTTCAGCATTGATTGGCTAAGTCAAGGAAACTGTTTGCGACTCCAACTGGTGGCCAAAACGTTCCCTCCTTCATGCCATCAGGAATCCGGATGCTTTGATCCTGCCAGCGATTTGTTTTCACTGAAGCAGTGAAGATGGAAGACAAAAGCGCTGATTGATGTTGCAGCGCGTGTTGCGGCCAGAATACTGCGCAGGATCTTTGACAGACTACCTACTACTGTTTCATACTGTTTCCTCTGCGACGCCTTAGACTGCGGAAGGGCCGCCCAAAGGAAGTCTGCCACGAGTTCAACCACCTCCAATTCCAAAGGATTGCAAAAATGAAGCAGCTTCAACGTGTTTGAACATGAGGTGAATATCATGGTCCAAGTGAAGACTCTTGAAAAATGAGACATTGTCCAGTCGGAGTCCACTTGGAGTCCACTTGAATCAGTTGCCGTTTTGATCTGTTGCCATCTGTTGCCTTCGGGGATATCTCGTGGTTCAGGTCAGGGAGCTCCAGGTATCGGAGCTGCTGGGCCCCAAGTTCCAGGAGACGCTCCTAAAGGCTACACTGAAAATCAAAAGAAAGCCATATGCTGCATACGCCTTTGCAAAAGCAGCGGGAAAAAATGACAGGGTCTGAAAAGGAGCGTTGCAATGTAATTCGAAATGCATGATCAAAGCGGATCGAAGCCGCCACCAGGGCAGATACGACACGTTTCACCAGGCTTTGACGTTTATTACAACATTCCAAGTATATAAATGGATTGCTCAAACGTCAACGCTTCCGAAGTCAATGCTTCCGATACGATTTTGAGTTGAGGAATGGCTGATAAACAGCCATTCTGTCAAGCTTGTGAAAGGAGAAAAAAAATGACGCCCGTCCTGCGCCATGCGAGTAGTATACACTGTAACGGTCCTGTGTGCCACCCCCCACACACAAACAGAAAAAGATATTGTATCATTGCATGGGGTCGCCATGAATGGAAATGAATGGTCCCTGTCTGCAATGTTCAATGCAGTTTGTCCTGTCGCACTTGCCGGACACAAATAAGATAGGAGTCTGGCTCAGGGCATCGGTCACATCGAGATGCCATGGGACTCCACCTTTGCAATGACCCCGCAACATAAAAAAGGTCCGCTATAGTCCGCTGAAAATCTTGGAAATACCAAAACAACAAGGATGTTCATAGAGTTTCCGTCACTGTCAAGGAAGAACGATCGCAGTGGCCATATTATTCCAGTCCCAGTGCACGTATGCAAACCATCTTCGTCATCTGACTGCACTGCCCCAAAAAGAATGGATAGGAGATGATAGGAGACCGGCCATGCAAGTGCTGCCAAGGCGCCGCACAGAACAATCAATCCCGCACAAGGCCTTGATAGTTGGAGTGCTGCAAGACCAGCAAGCATGGAGCCCTGCGAGAAGCCTAGGAACGCCACCTAGGCTGGGACGAGCCATTTGGGTCTTGTGAGTCTAGTGGGTATAAAATGGCACTGGCCTGAGCCAGTTCCAGGCTGAACTTCTGGCAATCAAACCTCAGTTGCACGCAGCCTAGAGCCTAGGCATGCAAAGCCGCAGCCTGTCAAATCCTCAACAGCTTGGTGATCTGAGTAAGCTATAGTGTGCTCAGGTGCGACTTAGTCTAGAGCTGAATCTGCTGCATCAACTGGCGGTGCAATTCGTAGATGCGCTCATCAAGGTTTCCTGCAAATGAAAAGCAAACCAGGACTGGGAACTTTGTACCAGCTCATAGCAGGTTAGTCCTGTGTGATCAGTCTCGTACCAAGAATTCAGTCCATGTGGCCCAGGCGGGGCAGTTGGCAACAGGAACCTCTCAGTGCTCACAGCTAGCTAGACAAATCGGACACTTCATGATATTTCTATGCCTCATTTCGAGTACCCAATGCGGCTGAGCAGGGAAATTCAGCAAAAAGAGGTAGGTCATGGGCATGAATGCTCTGAAATTTGGAATGCACAGTTTCTGCTGAGGAATTGAGATTCCGCCAATGTTTCCCCGCAAAACAAGTCCCTGCCTAGTGCCTGGCAGCCTTTTGCTGAGCTGCACTGCCTCTGGATGGGGTCTGTGGAAGGGGTATCGGGAAAGAGCCCCAAAGATTACCACGAAGAGAAAACCGCACACACGAAGAGAAAACCCGCTGAGATCATCTATATAGATGCTTATATAATCTTATATGATCTTGCATGTAGATCAATACATGTTTGTTTGTTCTTGCTTGCTGCGATATGCACTAAAACAATCTAAAACATACTAAAACAAATATCGTTTGCATGTGCGCTTGGTGTCGCGTTGCTACATTGCTAAGTGTAAAAGCAGAGGGCTCCACTGGCTGCAAGCCAAGCAGCCAATCCAACAAGGTTGCGGCCAGTGTCCCCTCTGCCATGTAACAGGACAACCTCCACTTCGGCGCTGGAAATTCTGGAAGTAGACTCAAATATCCCATGCGCATGGCCAACTGAAGCCAACTGCAAATTATCGGAGTCAAATATGTCAAACTATGTCAAACTACATTAAATCACTATTGCTGCAAGGCACCAACGATGTTGGAAAAGCATTGCAAGGCCCAAAGCTGTCGCTGGACAACTCGACCTGGAAAACTCTGAACGATATGTTTCACAACTCAACAAACATGTGTTTCGCCCTGTACGACTGTCATTGCCTTGCGCTTGTTTCGCACGAATTTCCCTATTAAGGAAGGAAAATTTGCCGTGAAGCTCCTACTGCGCAGCATTTCAGCAAGCCACTGCTTCACTGCTTGTATCAATTCCATGTTTTGTAGCACACCTGGTCATATCTGGTCATATCTGGTCATCATGGCTTGTCACTGTTCGCCTTCTGCATTGGGCACCCATTTCACTCCAGGAGGTTTCTCAGCGTCGGCACTGCAAGGCCACAGCCCCAAGCCAGTCAGCACAGCCGGTTGGGCTCTGCCATGTTCAGTGAGGACGTGTTTGGCATGGCACAACTCTGACAGTTCTTATCTGGCACTGCTGCCTGAAGAATTGACTGCGGAGAAGATGTGGCTGGGAGTTCAATGCAGTGAGTCTGCTTCGTTTCAAGCTCACTATGAGTTCTTTCGTGAGCTTGAACGGGCAAATGGCTCCCAAATTTTCGGTAATGTACCATGGGGAATTATTATCATTTCTTCTCACTGTGTTCGTATTTCTTGGGCAGCCTCGCAAGTGAAGGCTTGCAAGACTCTGAAGCAAGCTGCCAAGGCTAACCCTCGCGAATCACAACCCCACTTTTGACACTGTTTGTGGGAACGCGCGGGTGGTTCAATTTCCACACCAGCATCTCACATTGGAGCGAAACTGGGAAACCAGTGAAGACGCTAAAGCATGCATGATGGGGTGTGCTTTGATTTCGAGAGACCTATACAACAAAAGCTCTGGCTGCAGTTGGGTTGGGAAGCAACAGACTCATATCTCAAATCGACTCATGGACTGAATACAGCTGCAGCCCACCAAGCCCACTACGCGAAACTGCGCAGGAAAATCCAGGGGTCCGTCCTATGTGGTCATACCAGCTGGGGAAGCTTTCTGTAACAAAGGAAAACAAAGGAATAAGTTAACACGAACATCACGACTACTGCACTCAATTTCCACAATACTCAATACATCTCGACACATCTCGACGCAACCTCTTGGTTGTCACTTGCGCTTACATAAAACTCTTGGGCACTGGCCAAGCCCCACAGGCTTGGGCTCTTGCTCATCTAGTGATTTTAGCTCTGCTGAGCCTTGCGGAGTCCATCAATTTGAATGGCCGATCCTCGAGCCCCGTTTCAGCCGCCGTTGCCTGCCCAGTGCCAAAACTGCAGGAAAAGGATCTTGAAGAATTTTTATTTTTGTGTGCGAATTGCAATTGTATATTAACATCTGTCTGATGTCCATGCAGTAGTCTGTGATCGCCTATGCCTAAATTACACGCACACATATGTATATATATATATATAACATACATATATATATATATATACATACATACATACATACACTAATACACACCTTATTTTGTTGAGTTATCATATTCAATTTTGACATGTTTGTTTTGGTTCAAGTTGCCTTAATTACGCATGGTATCACCTGCACTTGGCAGGGTCATCTGATCAAATCTTGTCACATCTGAAGTATCTTTTCTCATTGAATTTATATGGCGTGCTTCCTTGGTTTTCAGCCACGTGACCGTGCTGTTTCGTTTTATTTGGGATCCCAATTCCACAACAGATCTTTCCATGCTGCCCACCGGTATCCACCTCCCTTACAGCTCTCAGATCGTCTCACTTAGAACTCACAGCTCACTTAGACCACTCATACCTCACTTGGAACCCACCAAATTCTCACTTCGAACTTAGAACTCACGCAGCTTGCACACGCCTGGATTGTGATAGGAAAGATGATGTGAGGTGGGGTGGGGTGGACGATATATTCTTCCTCTTGGCAAACAATTGTGATTCAATTGTGAAGGGTCATTTCAAATATTTCAAGAGTTACACTTTGTAGGGACGAGAGTTACAAGCGATGTCGTGGTCCTGCGCACCTCCACGCGCTTAGGTGGTCCAAAGATGCCAGAAGTTTTTCGAAGAACATGAACCTCAAAATCTCGCAATAGCACGTGCAGCACAGAAATGCCGTATTACAACAGGGCAACATCAACAAAGGCAAAGCAACCAGGAAAAGCTCGACACACTAAGCCAATACAAGCGACATAAGGGCAGAGTTCAACACTGTCCTTAGCCAATTTGCATCACTCTGCTGGATACCAGGCAATGCAGGGATCTCTTCTGACTCGTCCATGGTTTTGGATTGATTGGAAATGCGGAAAGGCGGGAAGAATTCTTTTTACTGTCTAGCTGAAGCATTTCCTGACTGGCAAGCTGCTGCAACAGCTTCGCTTCGATCCCAGCATATAAAGCAGTGAAACCTAGCACCAAGTTCAGCTCAACCAAATGCGTTTCCACAAACAACTTGCGCATAGCCGCACTGCAGCATATCTTTCGAGGGAGTGATCACCGTGAGTAAATCAAATGTGGCAAACACATGCAAGGAAAGGCATTCCGCATTCTCCAATCATCCGCACCCTAGACACCACCAGATTGCAAATGCTCCAACGGAAAAACATTTACCCGGGCCGTAGGTAAAAATGATGCAGAAGCTCCCAGAATCTTCCGATGATGTCGAACCTGTAGCTGCCCTCTACACTTGATAGAATGAAGAGTAATGAAAATTCTTGAAGCAGATTCTCCCGGCAATTCTTGGCAAAGAACCGCTGACGACAATCACTTCCAACAAACAGTCCAGAATGCCCATGGAAGCTCCGTTGGTGTGGCGGATGCGCTGTCGAGTCCTTACGCAAAAACAATGGCAGCCGTAGCAGAACATCTGTGGAGTTGCACAAGTTCCAATAGTCAAAGGGACGGGCATGGAATGGAGAATGCAGAAAGATATATAATGCATCTCGGGCTCTGTGCCACTTGCAAGGGATAGGTTGTACCAGTGGCAAAGGATTTGGCTACGGCACCAGCGACAAAGGCCTCCAATGCTGAAGGCGTTGGCTGTTTGCAAAAGTTCCGCTTCAGCAGGTCGTACATCACAAACCTCATTGACTCATCATATCCAAGTCGGAGACTCTTGCACAATTCCGGAGGAAAAGAGTCTTCCAGAAATATTCCAGAAAATGATTCGCCATCAATTCACGAAACAGGGATTCCCTCGCTTGTACCAATGCCTCTCCCCTGTATTTTGTGTCTTTCGTATGTCTTTGTGCATATCTGCCCATATCTCGGGCCACCGGGAGGGGTGTTGATACTGGGTATTCTTGCTGATGTACTTGACCTGCTGAATCTGAACTGGACTTGAGTTTGGCTCTTTCAGAAGCATTACAAGCTGTTGCTTCAACTTGCAGGTAGCTTGTCAAAGTCCAACGACTCCCAAAAGAACTCTGCCTCACCCGATGGTAAGTATATGTCGCAAGATTGGAAGAGTGGCATGCCCAGTGTGTCATGGTTTATCTTTGTATAGGTCTATGTGTTCATTTGCGTACTCGCTTACGATTGCTTACATGTGCACTCGTGTGTCTATGGTCCAGGTTTGGTTGCAAAAGCATCAGCCCAATAATACAGCACAATTTGACAATGCGAGCAGAAACTCCAGAACGGTAGGTTCATAGATCATCACATGTTTCTGATCAAAATTTCTGGCTAGCTACAAGAGAGACATATGGGCTATGGTCTCCCTTGTACGTCTATGCATCTGTAACCAGAAAGCATGACTTTTTTGATTGCTCGCGAAAGTCCTTGAGATGCTTGGAAAGAAGTTGCGACGCAGTTTTGCAGCTCATAGTTGTCGACCAATGCAGTTAGGCAGCTGGATGGCAGGATTTGCAACCTCATTTGCTGGAGAAAGAATAAGTTTGATTCAATGTCAGGTGTAGTAACGCGTCTATGGATGTCGTTGAAGGTGCAGCACAGCAACCAACAGCATTGAAGAAGACACTCCGTTCCACAAAGCTCCAGGGCCTTCCTCAACGCAAATGACAGCTATCCTTGGATCACCGAGCCATGTGAGAGCTGTGACATATTTTGCCCGCTATATCTAGTTCACCGGGCTAAAAGAGAAGAAAACTCAAGTGACCAAAGTGTCAAATGTATATCATGTTGCGCCATATGTTGTATTCATCACATTTTGTTGTACCAAATCATACCCCCACATCTGTATCGTTTTGTATTCAATCCTGCTTATCAAGTTGTATGAATATTATTCATATGGTGAATCAGGTAAATCATGTGGTTCGTCCAATGGCACGTTCCGCCACATGAGTAACATTTCAGCAGGTTCAAAACACTCCGTCATCCCTTGCTGCGCACGGTCTCGGGGTGACACCAACCGAAGTGAGCATCACACCGCTTTCAGTGAGATGAAAAGGATGACCAGAAAGTGTGCGGTGTCATGTCAGGTAGTTGTTAGACAATTCACCGATTGGAATATTCTCTTATTACGAATTTGGTCTGATCAGCCCCCTCAAGCTGTTTCAGACCGGCTACGACTGGCTTTACGGCTTTGGTAGTATACCATTTGGTACCACCGCTGCCAATTGGTTGCACGGGCCTTTGGCATCAAGATTGCGTCAACTGGGTGAACTGACACATTAATGGGAGGTAATATCCCTTTGTACTGGTTGGTTAGTGGGAGTTCCATTGATTTCCCATAATGGATTGCGATCATCCCCTACCTATTTTGCAGTGTAGATCCCTATAATCACCAACATCAACCAACAGAGCTTTTGGACATTGCTGATTTTACTGCCTAACATTGAACATTAAATAAGGGCTGTAAGATTCGAATATTTAACTGCACCAGATTTTCTATAGATTTACATACGTCGTGTATTTACATATTTATCATATCAAAATATCTTAGCAGGCGTGTGCGTGTGTGTCGATGTGTGTGTGTGTGTTTGTGTGTGTGTGTGTGTCTGTGTCTGTGTCTGTGTCTGTGGGTGCGTGCGTGTGCGTTTTTATGTGGTTGTGTGACGGGTGTGTGTATGTATGTCTAGTATGGACATATAACGAGTGCATACTTACATGTGCATGTGTGTGTATGTGACGGTTTGTCAAAATGTCTGTTCCCGGTTTTGTTGATAAATCACAATTCCATGCGTGCCGCCTCATGTTTGTCTTTAAAAAAGAATGACCTACCTTGATGACGTGAAAACGTGGAAATTCTTCGTTAGCTTTGGAAATCTTTCTAAAACCACAGGAATCGGCTAACGCACGTCGGTTTTCATTCACTGTCGCTGGTACTATCTCCTGAACTGTGTGTCCCTGTGTGTGTGCGCCTCTCTGAATGCAATATGCTTCTTGACATGCCTCCTGATCAACGCTGTTTCCTTACTGTAAGCTACCAAAGCGTGAACATGGCTGTGCCTCTGAATGGGCTGTGGGTGGACCGGGGCATGTATTTGCAATTTTCGCTAGCGCGTTGCTAGCGGCGATCTAGCGCGTAAAATACGTAAAAAAATCGAAAATTTGGGAATATGTGGAAACTGACAGACTTGTAAGAAAAGCTGGCAAGACATGCACGACATGGAGGCCATGGCTGTCAATCAAACCTAGCGCAAACCTAGCGGGTTTGCTAGCGCTGCCTTGCAGAATTGCTGAATTTAGTTGCGTGCCGCCTCATAACGAAGAGGAAAAAACAGTAGACCCAGATGAATTATCAACAACCAATACTAAACTTCTAAACATCTATTTTTGACAAATGGTCATGTACATGCACAGTTGTCACAATCTGATACTCGAAAGGGAAGGGTCTGTTCCCAATTATTTGTACAAGTTTTCTACACTCTATGGATTCCTCTTTGATGGAACTTCCCATCTTGCTTACTGAGCTGTTTTTGCACGTGGGATGAATTCCACCTTCACAATTCGGTAAGCTGTTCTGAGCAAGTGTGTGTGTGTGTATGTGCGTGCCAGTTTATTTGAATTCATGTCCAGACTGTTCGCCGCACCATGTACAAGTACTTGTGAATGTGAACCGGCCAAACTGTGAACCGGCCAAACCTCAACTGTTGATGTTTGCATGACATAGCGACTACTGCTGAAAAGCGATCAAGACCCGCTTAAATTTCTACGAAGCATCTCCTCCCACAAGCCAGCACCGGTGGCCTTCCCAATCTTCAAACGTGTTGTTGCCTCAATTGCATCATGAAGCCAAACAACTAAAATTTGTAAGCTATATAATGTGTAATAATAATAATACGCATATCATATCTACCGTAAATTGATTGGCATTTTGAAAGCAAAGTAAGAGGACGAAGGGTCAAGCAAATTGGACTATCAAGCGAAGCCTTTCACCTCATAAAAAGCTGCTGGAATCATGGGCTTCAATTTGGAGCTGTAATTGGAACGAAAAGGGCTTGACCCAAAACTTAGCCATGCACCACCCAGAGAGGGTTAGCCAGCATAACCTCAGGCAAGCCGAAGGTGCAGGAATCCCGGCCACCCAGTTCGATGCAAAAGATTGAGCAGTTATGTAAAATGCAAGGGATGCATAAGGATGCAGGGGGCCCGAATTGGAAGGGCAAAACACATCGCAAGGCGTCAATTTTTGCATGCAATCATCTTGAGTGTGATGAATGCCCCTCCACAAGATCCACATCACACGTGCTTCTAAGGAGCGCCCAGCATTCCAGCAAGGCTGGCTGCAAACAGGTCTGCCAAGCTTTGTGGCAACTGAGGCGTTCGGAAACGTATCTTCAAAGAGGTGTAAGCACCTTGAATGTCGTTCTGTCCAATGATTAAGAATATCAAGGTCTCATCGGCTCACCCTGTGGAAAACGCAAACTCGGAGACTGCTCGAATAATTAAACCATTTCAGGAGGGCTGCAAGTTCAAACAATAAACTTTGGCACCCTGGGCAAAAAGCGGGAATTGCTTACTGTACTCCCTTGACCCCTTGACACTGCTATCATAGCCACTGCTATCCGAAGCATTTGCCATAGTAGCGAGGGGGACGAAAAGCAACTTAGGACCTAGGACGTGACAGAAAGCTTCTTCCACACATGATCCGCCGTGGCACCAAAATAAACAAAGTATGAGAAGCCAGTAGCTTGCAACTGACTTGCAAGTCCTCCTCAGGTCGGCAAATACAGCAGCACTATGCATCACTGCCCACCACTTGAACACTCACACCTAGCTTCCCTGGCGCTTCAGAACATATCAAGCAAATTCCGGCAATTTACCGTGCAACTTTGTCATACTTGATTGGCAAAGACTCAGGCATTCTCTCCCTTCCCATGCAGTTGCGGATCGAAAGATGTCGTCCGTGAAGAGGAGAACAAAAACGTTGGCATGCTCTCCACTTGCTTGGGATACTACTCCTGCCTGGTCCAGCGGATACCTCGGCCAGAACCCGCACGAACACTGCCAGTATCTGCCAGTATTACACCGGTTTCAAACAAGAACTGCGGCTGGGCAGCAACAGGACTACCGATAGCATGCTGGCAATGAGCCCTGCAAGCCCACTGAGCGCGGGTGACGGCATTGCAACAGACTGCGCCGAAACAGTGGTAAGTTCACCAACTTATGATGGGACCTTCCATTCCCGACCTCTCTCAGGGCGTCCACCGACTTGGGAAATGAAGAATGGACTATGCCACAGTACACCCACTGTGACTGTTGAGTCACTGGTTGAAATGTATGGAAAGTATGCAAGTGTCCAAATCCACTATGATTTCAAGTCGATTGCATTAAACCAAATGCCCAAAAACTCTGTCTGATGGAAGATCACAGCTGTGAACGGCTATGGAGCTTGAGCTTCAATCTGCGACTAGGGATCCAAATGTGCATATGCAACTGCGAAAATCTTCAATGCAAAATGTCTCCACACTGCTCCAAAAATGCGATCGCCGGTGAACAGTGCACAGTAAATTGCATCTCCCAGGAATCGAAACCCGCAAGACCTGTTTGTCATTGTTTGTCTGTTTTTGTCTGCACAGTGCATTGTCTGCAGGAGGTCCTAGCCACATCTAGCCACCTTGTCCACACTTTAGTAGCACGGATCAGCAATGGACAGCTTCCCGTCGTCGAATTGGTTGCCCACAGGTGCGGTAGAAGCTAGAAAACCAAGAGTCTGGCTCCTGCGGAGTTCAACGATGGCCAGGCTCAACTGTGGGCTCCTAAAGTCCTAAAGTTCCAAATTACATCAAATTGCTAGATTCAGATGATTTGGCATCATGACCTGCAATTTTCCTCTTGTTTCGGCTGCCACACACTTGTTCAGACTTGTCTTGTCGAATTGCGATGTGGAACGCATCGGTCGTGCAAAAACACTCCAGTTAAATTAGGTAAGACGAAGTTGGAAGTACGAGAGTGTCCCTGAAAGTTGTCAAAGCTGCCATCGCCATAGCCAGAGAATGATCAACAGTCTTGAGTTTCGCCACCAATAAATATAAAAGGAATATATAGACAGTCACCCTCATCCGTCCATACGCTTAACATCTAAAGTATCCTGACGTGATGTTTGTCGAACTTCAGATTGCGAAAGCCATGCAAAAAACAAAGTGAAATACCACGACGTGCCGGTTCTTGGCTTAGCCGGTTGCCATCAACGAGAATTTTTGACATGACATTGTTCTGAGATGGCTCACACAGACAGCCTCCCGCAGGAGGGTGGGAAAAATTATGGCCCCGACACATGAGATGAAGGTGAAGATGAAAGGGAAATGGAAATGAGACGACGATGAGAATGAAATTACAAGCTACCTAACCGGGACACGAGACGGGAAACGCAAAAGAGGACGGCACAAAGGGAAAACACCAACACCAACACACGACCTAGCCCAGAACGGGCAAACCCTGAAAGGGCAAGGGAAAAGAAAAAGCGAACGGACGACGGGCCAAACACCGACCAGAGGAGGGGGGGCGGACGGAAGCGCCTGACACAACCTACAAGGCGAGAGCCAAACCTACCTCGGCACGCGAAACACCCAAACCTGACCTAACACGGGAGCACGCATGAAATAGGGGACCACTGGGGGACTAGTTAATGAAAATTTATGCATCCACAATCCAGCGCAAGGTTCGTGATAAGGTTCAAAGCCCTCGATAGTCCAAACCTCAAAACTTCCAAGGTTTGAAGTGCCAAACTTCAAGTTTTGGGGGGTCCAAACCTCAAATTTCCAAGGTTTGAGGCCCCAAACTTCGAGTTTGGCACAGCTCTATGGGCCTTCTGTGCCCCCCTGCTTCTAAACGTCGTACAAGTTTTACATCTGTTGAGATGGTTCACACACTTGCTCAGAACTGCCATAGCGAATTCTGATGTGGAATGCATCTGACGTGCAAAAACACCAACAACTAAATGACATGATGAATATACATACATACATATATTTATATTATATTATATTATATTATATAGACGCATAATCACAGGAGACAATGATGATATAAGCCAACAGCGATAAAATATAGGTCCCCCCCAGCTGCGACTTAAATGTGCCCAGGGGCGGGACTATACATATAAACCTAGCTGCAGGTACAGGAAACCGGCCACGTTTCCTGTCCCACTCATGTCCACAGCTTCGTGGCGTGTGGCAGGACATGAGTGCCACACGCCCCTGCAAAATTAAGAAGTTTTACATCTCTACAGATGGTACACACACACACACTGTGGGGTAATGGTGAGTAGAAAGTGTGAATGATGTCATAGTCTTCGCCTAAGTTCCTGAGTTGCCTAAGAAAATGGACCTAAAGAGCCTGCCTAAGAGAATGAATACCTGGCCTAAAAGAACCTGATGACGATGACGAGTGATGTGAAAAGCAAAAGTTAAACCGAGTTCGATAAGTCGTAAATCCTAACATTAAAGAAAATGCGCATGCAAAAGCTGTACGTTTGAGTTCAAAAAGAAAACGATGCACAAGACTGTACGATAAAGCCTTTCAGCCAAGACCTCATTTGTAATTCCATCTCATCGTCAAGAACAAATAATCGTACAGGCACATTGGAAAGTGAAAGTTCTGAGTTCCGGAACTGCAGACTGAGCTTGAGTTGTTGCTGAGCTCTTGACCGAAAAGGTTCCGACAAGTTTCGGCTCAATCTGCATAACAAAATTCCCGGATTCATCAAAACATGATTGATTCATCAAAACTAAACTGTTTGCTATATAGTAACCTAAGGAGCCTGCCTAAGAGAGTGAAGACATAGCCTAAACAGAACCTGATGACGATGATGAGTGATGTGAGAAATAAAACGTTGAACCATGTTCTATACCTAGTAAAACTGACCTAAGGAGCCTGCCTAAGAGAATGAATACATGGCCTCAAAAGAACCTGATGACGATGACGAGTGATGTGAGAAACAAAACGTTGAAACATGTTCTATACCTGGTAAAACAAACCTAAGGAGCCTGCCTAAGAGAATGAATACATGGCCTAAAAAGAACCTGATGACGATGACGAGTGAGGTGAAAATGCTACTGAGACTCCGACCAGACCAAAAGCACTTGTATTGCACCCGTGGTGCTGGGAACTTCGACTTATGTCTGCTTTGTCCGAACTGGACGAAACTTCTGCCTTATGGCTTCTTCGCCTTATGGCTGCTTCGATTGGATTTTACAGTGTAAAATCTTGACTTCGTCATATGACGCTTGAAATGCACTCGAAGTGCATACGGCTTCGGAGATTCATACTCCACTCTGAATACGGGAAAATGCCCGCTCATGACTTTTTGATTGGTCGAAACCAACCGACGGTGCGACCAAGTCAGGTCAAACACCCAGGACACACTGTGGGGTAATGGTGAGTAGAAAGTGTGAATGATGTCATAGTCTTCGCCTGATTTCCTGAGTTGCCTGGCAGTAGATTTTCAGCGGACACGGATTCGCGATCGAAGAAACAACGCACAGCTCATAAACAAAAACAGAAAGTCAACAGTTGAAACATGTTGAAACTATAGCAGGTACGTAGATCAGGCGTCCCTGACCTATATCCTTACCACATGTCACCCAGCTTCGTTGGCAGAGGAAGTGACATGGGCACCTCTGCCCCCTGCTTTTGAGAATTGTACAAGCGCAATAAACAGAACTAAAACCGTTTGTTATAACGGTGTACACACACACACAAGTCACTTGAGTCCGTCTACCTGCACTGATCATGTGCGTGTATACATATATATATATGTGTGTGTGTGTGTTTGTTTGCTTGTAATGTAATGTAGTGTCATGTAATGCAATGTAATGTATATTCATATGTTCGTATATTCGTATATTGGTATATTCATATGTATTACAGTACTTACAGTGTGACATGTTGTATCATTTTGTAACATTTTGTAACCTTGTACGACATGCAAGGTGCGTCTGGTCTGCAGCCCCCGCCTCGGCTAGGAAGCCAAATTCGAACAGGGCCAAGGGAGTGCCATGGCCTGCTGACTCGGTGAGCTTCGGCAGGAGTGAGTCCTGACACCAAAACCGGCTCATGCTCAGAATTCTCAAACCAAAATAAAAGTCATTGGGAAAATCAAAGCCACACTTTGTGGGACACTTCCCGGTACAACAATACAACATGCCAAACCATTGCTCGTGACTCAAAGATCTCTGGCAATGACATGCCTCAACCTGGGAATGGAAAAAAGGTCACAATATGCCAATATGCTGCAGATCAAGCCGAGCTGGGAAATCCCCCACTTAAGCTCCGAAACATGGGACAGTGCAAATCAAGCGCATGCGGGCAAGCGACTCTACAATACATCAGCAAATATGAGCAGGGCATCGATGCTGCTGACACAGCATGCCCCAGGTTGAAACGCTGAAACAAGCTGGGAACAACTCATACTATTGAACTGGGTACATGTACGACGGGTCAGTGATGTATCGCCATGTTGTTGAGAGCTTGGGTATGCCTCATGCCTCAGATATGCGCTGAACCCGAGACACCTCGCAGATGTCATCGTCGAAAGCATCAAGAAACTCTTCAAACCTTGGCCATTCTGAACACTTAAAACCTTGAGCTCAACGCTTGTGATTTTATATTAGATTGGAAATGACATAAATAGATATAAATAGCTCTATTTGCCATGCCAATCTGGACTGCCAACCGCATCTCTGCGTAATTCAAGTAAGGCACTCCACTGCCCCATGGTTTTCAAGAAGGTCCCCTACCTGGCAGAGTTGCAAAAGCAAAGGCGTGGAAAAAAATGCCACTGGAGATGAAGAACGCCAAGGGGAGGAAAACCACTATCTACATGTGTAAAGGTTCTGATCTATAGATTCCACATCATCATGAATGTGATGTACAGTAACAGTTTTCAAGGGAAGGATTGCACAAAATCTCACAATTTCAAGTGTAGGTCCGAAGGTGTCTGCAGTGGCAATGGTTTAACCGAGTTTAACCTCTTGTCACACTGAATGCAAACATGGCACAGAGTTCGAAACCTTCTCCAGCACACACGAACGGTCTGCTGACAGCCTTGGTGTCGAAACAGGGAAAGATTGTCACAGCTCTGGAGATCTCTGGAGACTTTTCAACTTCGTTCATCTTCGTTCAACTCTTCAAGGGTGTTCTTCGAAAATCACAACTGTCATAGAACATCAATGTAATATCAACGACAAGCATCTTGTCGCTGCTGTAGACCTGGAATCACGTTGTTTGCTCCAATTCGATTTTCAATTCGCTAAATTCGGTATTTCTGACGCAAAAGTTCACACACAGCACAGGCCTGGAAGAATGATTTCTGCAAGCAACACCAGATGTCATCCACCCTGACAAAGGGTTCAGCTCTCCGGTTGTACCAAGTCTCACAATGTTGCATACAGTCTTCAAGGGATTTTGCATTGTCTGCTCTTTGGATCTCTCTGGCACACATGGCAAATCTAGTTCTCAATGCGTCCTGTGCTTCATCAAGCCATCTTTCAGAAGATTGACCATCAGTGCTGCGGCGGCCACTGCGCTAAAGTCCAGCGTACCTTGATGAGTCGCCGGTGGATGGACACAAACACACAAAGTGCCACAGACCTGTGCACAAATCCACACAATATTGTAACCAAAGCTGAGGATGTGGAAAACTTTGTGGGTAGAACATGCAGAAAGAAAAAGAAGCAGAAAGACACACATATATATACACAGAGAATCACAGAGATGTGTGTGCGTGTGCGAATGTGAGAAGATATGATTGCACCCACCCTTTCTTCCCCGCTACAGCCTCATTCACCCTCGTGAGCCTCCCCGCACACCCTCAAATCTCACTTCACAATTGAACAACAGCCTAGCCTGACAGCTGGCTTTCATGATACGCCAAGATACCACAGCCACGTACGTCCACAACCCCAATGGCCACCTCGCTGCTTTGCTGACAAGCGCCACGGGCAAGCAGCAGCTGCATGCCCTGCCGCGATGCTAGGAGCCCATCGCCATCCTGCCAAGATCTGCCAAGATCTGCCAAGATCTGCCAAGATCTGCCAAGATGTAATCAAATCAGAGTGATACAAGATTTCCGATTCGTATGATTCGTCAGATGAAAAGCCTCAAATTTGTCGCGCTTTTCCCTTGCTCCGGCTGAAAGATGCTAAGAAATCCTGAAAGCTTGTTTTCAATGTCTGAATTCCGTTCCCTTTACATACAGGAACTCCATCCATGCTCTTGAAAGCATCCCGACAGTGCCTTGTCCAACCGATGGAAGTCTGCCAGCATCCTTTCCTGGGCGCACCGCGAAGATTCTGGGACAACGCTGAATAACCCTGTCAGCACATATGTTCAAAGTCTGAGGTTCGAGATCCCGCTGTGCCATTTCAACTGGTATCAGTAGCAAGGCCTCGCACAAGTCCCAAGAAATAGCTGGAAGGGCCCAGGAAGGAATAGGATCAGCATTCAAACACACCACATCAACACTCGATGTTCCCGGGCTGTACTGCTGCTCTTGACGCTTTTGCACGTGAAAACCTGGGGCAGCGACCACCTGATAGCAGGCCAGCCTGACGAACAGGACTTTGGAGTCGGAGCATGTTCAATGTCGGGTCGCTGCTTTGGATGCTCACCGGACCCATTGTTCATAAACAAATGCCTCCGTAGCGAATCTTCTCGAGCAAGATCATCGGCCAAACCCGGACGGAGCAGCACGTTTCGAAGCCTTGTGCGCTACGCTCACACAGTTGAAGTTGGTGGAGCTACGTTACTGTCAAATTTTCAAGTGTGTACATAATCTTTTGTTGAACCCTTGCTACTTCCATCTTTCCTCTCGTTTCTTCGAATCGGATCCGATCTCTCGTCTCTCGCAGTCCAAATTCTTCCAGGGTGCCAGGGATGGCAAAGTGCCAACGATGCAGTGAATTCTGGGTTCTCTTCCAGTAGCATTTGAACGAAGTCCTTAGCAAGCTTGAAGCTGCAAGCAACCTTGTAATAAAAGTTTTGTTAGATGAACACTCTTCGATTCAATGCATCTGGACAAAGCATGCTACCTCATAATACACCTGCGCCAAGGCCCTGTGTTCAATTAGTTCTCTGATAACGGTTTGTTCATTCTGAGCAACAATCACCTATGAATAGATGGATAGCATTTGGTCCAGGCAGCGAAAGCTTCTTGGCTGCGAGTTGACCAAAGCTCTCCGCTGACGAGGTGACGTTCCAAATCCTCACAGCTTACAGAGGTTGCATCCACAGCAGCTGTAGGCACCGGAAAGCTCACAAAGCCACCAATTGTCAAAGCAGTTCACAAGTGTTCACACCTCAACAAAGGCCTGGCAACTAGTCCATATCAACCGATCTGGTATGTTACTTATTACTTTTACATGTATATGTATATATATATATACAACCAAAATATTACATACACATATCTATCTGTCTGTCTGTCTGTCTATCTATCTATCTATCTATCTACCTAGCTAGCTATCTAGCTATCTAGCTATCTAGCTATCTAGAAATCTAGCTATCTAGCTATCTAGCTAGCTAGCTATCTATCTATCTGTCTGTCTATCCATCCATCCATCCATCTATCCATCCATCCATCCATCTATCTATCTAATCCTATCCTATCCTATCCTATTGTATCGTATCATACGTGTCCTATCCTATCCTATCTTATCTTATCTATCTTATCTATCTTGTCTATCTTATCTTATCTATCTTATCTATCTTATCTATCTGATCTATCTTATCTATCTTATTTAGCTTATCTATCTTATCTAGTTTATCTAGCTTATCTAGCTTATCTATCTTATCTAGCTTATCTAATCGATCCAATCGATCCAATCGATCCAATCGATCTAATCGATCTAATCGATCCAATCGATCTAATCGATCTAATCGATCTAATCGATCTAATCGATCTAATCGATCCAATCGATCTAATCGATCTAATCGATCTAATCGATCTAATCGATCTAATCGATCTAATCGATCTAATCGATCTAATCGATCTAATCGATCTAATCGATCTAATCGATCTAATCGATCTAATCGATCTAATCGATCAAATCGATCTAATCGATCTAATCGATCTAATCGATCTAATCGATCTAATCGATCTAATCGATCTAATCGATCTAATCGATCTAATCGATCTAATCGATCTAATCGATCTAATCGATCTAATCGATCTAATCGATCTAATCGATCCAATCGATCTAATCGATCTAATCGATCTAATCGATCTAATCGATCCAATCGATCTAATCGATCTAATCGATCCAATCGATCTAATCGATCTAATCGATCTAATCGATCTAATCGATCCAATCGATCTAATCGATCTAATCGATCTAATCGATCTAATCTATCCAATCTATCCAATCTATCCAATCTATCTAATCAATCTAATCTATCTAATCTATCTAATCTATCTAATCTATTTATCTAATCTATCTATCTAATTAATTTATCTATCTACCTATCTATCTATCTATCTGTCTGTCTGTCTGTCGATCTATCTTATCTTATCTTATCTTATCTTGTCTTGTCTTATCTTGTCTTATCTTATCTTATCTTATCTTATCTATCTATCTATCTATCTATCTATCTATCTATCTATCTATCTATCTATCTATCTATCTGTGTGTATGTATGTATACCTATACCATACATATGGCGTCCGTGTGTCTGCATCTCTATACAGAGTATCTCTCTCTCTGTGACATTTTGCATCATTCTCTCTCTCTCTCTCTCTTGATGGCCTCCTCCACCTGGCTGGGTGGCAAGCCCAAAAGCATGGCTAGCGCAAGCCTTGGTCAAACAGCTCCGACAGGTCCGGCAGGTTTGTGTCATCTCAAGTCATTTCAACATTTGGCTCGCGACTAGCACCACAGTACCAGCTCAACATCTCCTCCTAGAAACATGTCGAAATTCTGTCGAAACATCACTCCAAGCAGCATCCCGACGCTGCGCAAATCGGCAATATGACCTCGGACTGTATCTGAACACATGGGGGGCCACTTCTGGTCCCAAAATCAAGGTGCTGGCCATCTTTGGATCCTGCGCTAAAGGTCACAATGAAGGAAGATGAAGGAAGCAGAAAAATCGCAAATCCTGATGATCAATGGGAAAAAACGATCGTGTGTGCGCGTCTGTGTGTGTGTCAGGCAAATAGCTGGAAAAGGTGTCCTATGCCCATCGCAGCAAGCACCCCCACGTCACCCACAAGAACACGAGCATCCGCTTCCCTCCGGACGGGCTGTGTCAAGGGCCATCACACTGGTTTTGTCAGTGACAATTTACTGACAATTCACTGACAATATTGACCCGGCCTCGAAGTAAGGAGCACGCTGCTGGCACGCAGGTCATCATGGAACAGACCTTATTGATGGATGGCGCTCAAATAGCAGTACTACTGTATCAGTCAAACATCAAAGGGTGATGTGCAACAAATAACATCAAATAACATGAGTATTTAGCATTTATCGTTCAATGATGTTCAATGCATGCAAGGCTCCACAAGAGTGGCAATGAACCAAAGCTGACAGAACTTGCGCCACGTAACGAGCACCTCGACTGACTACGCACTGGCAGAGCTCAGCTGAAACCGAAGATACTAATGAATACTAATGATACTACAGGTCTTACTAGGCTATCACAAGTCCACGCGACAGACTCCCACGTTATTTGCGCGTCACAAGGAAGCAGCCAGCAAACATGTGCCAAAAAAGCCACAGAGTGTCAAGAGTATCACAGCATGTGCGACGATGAACAAACAATTCATGCAAAGTTACAAGTCTCCTCCTCAAGAACTTCCTCGTCAGCAGCCAACCTGTGAAATGGAATCTGCTGGCTTTGCTGGAGGATTTGCACCGATGGCGCGCATTCCTCAACCAGAAAACGCCAAATTGTATCACCAAAGGCAGCTGCCAGTCCAGACTTTTTTTCCATTCAGCCGCCCGAAGTCAATCGCTGAAAAATGTAGGTGGTGTCGCCCATGGCATGGCTTTGGCCTGAATATGGCACACCTCAGGAAACTGGAAAAAGGAAATAGCAAGTAGCAAAATTCCTCAAAGTATGGGGAGGATCTTCATTCGGGGCCGGGTATACTGAGAGTTCAAGTCTTGCAAAAGGGCCTGTCACTCCTGTCTGTTTCAGGTTATATTTCAATTTTATCAGTTCTGACTGCAGCTTTGCCACCAGGCTTGTGCTGCGCTTGCGGCTGCTGAGCTGGCTGCGTCTGCTGCGTCGGCTGCGTCGGCTGCGTTGGCTGCGTTGGCTGTGTGGGCTGCGTAGGCTGCGCTGGGCGCCAGTTTTGGGACGGTGGCCTTGGCTGTGAAATCTGCCGCTTTCTCCGGGGCATGTAGTTTGGTGAAAAAAAATTGTGAAAAGGTGTGCAGCTTAAAACTACGCCAGGCAGCGAACAGCATGGCCCGAAAGTTTACAGGAGTGCTCCTCCTAAAAGCCAAGCTGGTGCTTGGTATATTTATATATATATATATATATATCGTCTATATCATTCTATATCTTACATTGTGTGCTTATATATGTGTTTATCTACGGCATATACGAGTGCAGTGAGTGGTGTATATGCATGTGTGAGCAAATTCGATCAGGAACACGCATGCACATACTTGAACGTGCGGTTGTGTGCGCATGATTGTTGCTGGTGTGAAGCATCATACAGGTCATACAGGCAGGAGTCCAACTAACATCAAGTTGAGCTGCATCTGTGTAGAGCCACGCAGCGGCACCGCCTGATGAGGTACTTGCATAGGTCCAGGTCTGGAGGCACCAAATGGCCCGGGCACTGCCAACTGCGTGCTAGGCTGTGCACCTGGTAGCTGGAGTAGCACGACATGGCACAACATACTGTACAAGCAGAGCGAAATCTGCCATCCTGGCAGAAAATGCACAATCCACAAAACAGCGGAGCAAATCATGCTCTGAAGGCCATGCAGTGCAGGGCCATGCAGTCAAGTTGCTCAAGGAGGCAAAGCGTGCAAGAGATGCAGTACCGGCACTTCCAAGGCCCCCCGCACAACCTATGGCAATGCCAGGACTTTTGGCAACAGCCTGCAGTGCAGCGGTGGCACTGGGACCCAAATGATGGAGTTGCTGTTGCAGCTGCTGTAGATTCCTCAGCACCGCACCCAGCATTCACTAGGCAACTGACACTCCAGCTGTCAAGCAGTAAGCTGAGAAGCAGCTTGACAAACCGTGGGATAGATTGGGATAAGTATGGATGAGGGACTTGTCACCACCGAGTCACTGTGAACTCTCCACTGGCTGCATGTCTATCTGCATTGAGGGCATCCCTTGGCTGGTGCTCAGGTCGGCTCGGTGAAGGAGTATGATAGGTTGACAAAGTACCCAGCTAACTATTTGCGAGAGTGGTTTGACCGCTTGCATGTTTGACATAGTTGATTTTGATGTTTGATGTTGCCGATATTTGAGAATAGTAGGCGATATTTCTGTCAAGTGTCGGTCACGCACTGGGCTCCTTGTCAAGCTCAACTGCTCAGGATGCGAGGTCAAGTACTCAATGCATTTCCTGGGCTCGGCACAAAAGAACTGGAATACTCCTGGGATAACATGGCGTAGGGCGTAGGCAATCTGCAGGCCGCCCCTTCGAAGTCCTCTAACTCTTCGGATTTCGACCATGGCAGTCTTAAGACTTCAGGGCATCACTCCTACAGCGCAAGCAGTACTCTTCTTCAGATTGTTTCAGACAAGCCTCTGACTTAATATGTCCAACGGAGTGTTCACTTGGGAGGCGAAGCGCAAGAAATCATGCACATTGTGAGCGTCAATGACCTCAAACAACCCATGGCTCAAATGACCAAGCGAGCGTATTCTGCCAAGCCGGAAGAACTATGCACGTGACTTCATGTGACTTCACGTGACCATGCACGAGTTGCACAGGTCGCCAAGGTACTATGCTGTCTTGGCATAGGCGAAGCAGCGGTTGCAACTCAAAGCGCTGTGCCAATTTCAGCAGCGCCTCCGCCTTCATACAGAGATCATCACCCAGCGAGCAGGATCATTAAATAAACTGTAATCATAAAACGGTTGTTTATATGTCTTTTAGCGATCTGCAATCGACTTTTACGCTATGCCACTATGCATACTTGCGATCACTTGTGTTGATCTTTCTGAGATGCCCATGCACATCTCACTGCCTCTTGTGGTGGCAGATCGGCCGTGAATCTGCTGTAGATCTGCTGGAGCAAAAGCTGCCTCGGCCAAGATGCCGTCGACCCCGACACTACCAGCTTTTGCAGTACCAGTCTTAATCGCTTCCAGACAAGGCATCAAGCACAACCAACACCGAAGCACTCGGCTCCCTCAGACAAATGATGGCCAGGCACCCAGAAGCGGGAAACTATGAAACTAAATAAGTTTGGTGAACAAAACCCAGACCAGCATGTGTTCGGTAAACATATGACATATGTACAAAGACCTGTCTGTTGCATGCTTCTCTTTAAGAAGCCACACGTCAGATAGGTTCAGGCAGCAAGAAATTCTCCAAACGTCGCATTTATTCATTTATGTATCAGTAGCATGGAGTAGCACGTTAACACATGCCACAATGCAACTAATTGCGTGTGCTGTAATGTACTCCGTGTTCTTTCTGTGTGTACACTGATACGTATTATTATCATTTTCTCATGAAGTCAGGGTTGCGAAATGAAATAGTGCCTTCCTTATGGACCAGTCCATGCTCCTGAGGTCGCAATACCATCAAGTTGCAGCGTGCGAGTCTTCACTTGAGGCCTTGGATGAGTGGGAAAGACTAAGGCACTGAACTCGGCCGTGCGACATTCAATTCATGTCAGGAACATTGGTATATGCCACACACTCCTGTGATTCATGAATCCCGAATGGAGTCTGAAAGCATGACGTCCAAAGGAGAACTCACAGCATCCTCTCCAGGTCCTCTCCCCTATCCACTTGAATGTAGCCAAAACGCAATTTGACCGTCGGAACACCGTCTCCAAAAAGGCGTGCCAAAGCTGGAGCAAACCGTTTGAGAACAGCGCGGTGCACAGGAACTTTCCTTGGCCACGAGGTGATGCACAAAAGAAACATGAAGAAACCATTCAACTTCAATTTGTCCTGTGCGCAGTCTGATGATCCCGAAACTCATTCTGCATGTGATCCGGTTTCCCCAGAGACAAAAACCAACACGTTCTTAGACAGGTCAAATTGCGTTCCATCCATCTCCACCATGAACTCAGCATCTGCAGATGCTTCATCGAGCAAGAACAAGTCGAGCCTCATCTCTGGCAGACTGAATCAAGGGCAACCAAGGATAAGGACAGTTAAGGGCCTGATATTGGAACATATTGGAACAGTGAATCTAAGGATCCAAGAGGATGACGAAGGTCAGCAAAAAGGACATCCACAAGAAAGATCATGAATTCTTCCAGGGTTTTATTTCATATGAATCAATTTTCCAGGGTTGTTTACAAAGCTAGAATCAGCTAGAACTCTAGTGCGAACAAGTCTGAACAATGTCTGGTTACACGCTATACTGACACATATTGTTCCAAGAGGCTCGGTTACAACGCGTCTGTCAAATTGTGAGGAGCCGTCCTGCAAGAGCACAATGGCAAAGCACAATGTTTTACACTGACTAGTGCAATTGCAGAGCATAGCACAATTTTCGCAAAAAATATTCATTGAAAGCTCATCTGGTGGGGTTGGGAAAAATAAAAGGGATTAAATTTAGCAAGAACTGATTTTGTTCAGGAGCACCTTTCTTAGAATGTTTGGCGAATCCCCAAAGGAATCGCTCCTTTACTAGCGCAAATGATGCCAAAAAATCTGGAAGGATCAATTCCTTTATTAATACACTTAAGATCACTTAAGATGAAAAATACAAGCCAACACCCCAACAATTTTTGAAGGGGTACCCCATGAACCACCCAAATCCTGAATACTGCGATTGTGGGGATGATAGTCAATAATGGCAAGAACCTTTCTCGGAATGTTGTGCGAATCCTCAAAAAACAAAACTGCCTTTCTATCTTCCTTAAAACTACTGCCAAAGAATGCCAAGGTTTCAGAAGAAGAAGAAAGAGGAGGAGGAGGAGGAAAGAAAAGAAAAAGAAAAAGGAAAGTAAGGAAGGAAGGAAAAAAGGGCAGAAAGAAAGGAAAGAAAATGGAGAAGAGAACAAGAAAGACAGACAGACAGGCAGGCAGGCAGGCAGCCAGAAAGAACAAGGGAAAGGAAGGAAAGGACAAAAAAACAACAGGGAACTACTGGGAACAGAGCAAGGGAACGAAGATGAATTAAAGTAAGAAAGAGCGAAACATGATTTAATGTTGACAGAAACTACTCCTCAAAAGTCCTCTCCCTCACTAGCTATGAGCCCAACAAGGAAAATGAATAGATTCAAATGGTTCAAAGTTCAAAGTCCATACGTAGATTCATGTCTCCTTTTTCCGGGTCAGACTTTACCATTTGAGGACTTCCACCTTATGACTCCCCATCAATTGTTTGGGGGCCTACACTAATCAACGCCCAAAGACCACAGCGATTGCAACAAAGTTCCCGAATAGACAAAATTCTGCTCCGTCCCCGACAAATCCGCGCGAAGGGTCCATCGCTCGGTTCAGCTGCTCCCTGGACACTTTGAAGATACCGTGATCCATGAAGTTCGGCTCTCCATCGTGTGAAGGGCCCTCGGAACAAAAAGCACCGAAGACAACTGAGAGTTCCATGAGCAAGCTAAGTTTTGAAGATATTTGAGGCTTGAGGTACAGTAGATTTCCGGGTGAGACAATTCAAGGAAACCAACCAGGCTGATCTTAGCACAACCTTTGCGGGCATTGCAATCTGGCCATTACTGACTTATTAGTGCCTCTAGTTAGTTCATCTAAAGCGAAGCACGGCTCAGCAAGCCAGGCGCCTGCTGGTAGGCTACGACTCCGGATGTCTCCAAGCCATACACCACGCGGCCATCGCTTGGCCGCGGACCGAGCAGAAGGGGAGGCAGCTGTGACCAGTGCGACTGCACCATGTTGTAGCCTCAGCTGTAGTCCCTGCGCCAAGCAGAGCTGGGATCCCATTTCGCACATCTGTGGTCTGCATGTCGCATTCGCGAGTTTTGTCACCTACACGGCCTACGCGCCTTTAAGTGAATGCCTCAACTATGCACCAGTGGGTCCGAGCGACAATATGCATTCTGCGCGCCCTCGTCACCACCAAAAATAAAGATTTGGTCGTCAAATGCCACTGCATGATGACCTGACATGACCTCAGCAAAGCATCTTGAAAAGGTATTGTGGCGCTGCCTACCATGTGGGCATTTGTCAACACAACTTTGCATCCGGCTGGTGGTTTCTCTGGGGACATTTTTGCAACCTCCTCCCAGCGGTGCTCCTGCGCAACACAGGCAAGGTCGTCAAACCGCAATTATGATAAGTGCCTGCATCCTACTGGTAATGTTCATGTTAAAAAATGAAATAATACAGATCTCTTCCCACAGGTCAGTCTGGATGTTCAAAACATCTGCCCAGCATATATATATATATATCTATCTATCTATCTATTTATCTATATATATATGTATAAATGTGCAGCTCACCCGTTTTGCGCCACTTCGCAGCAAGTTTGTCAAACATGAGTAAACAGGAAACACATTCACAAACAAAAGGGTGGTTTAACCACCGGCAAGATCTCTTTGCAAAACTCCTCTCTCCCTTAGCCACACCTAAGACAGGAGAGATTCAAGTTCCAATCCAGAGACACACAGATCAACCCCACACCTCCTGATCTGTTGCCATCCTGAATACAGTGGTTAAAACCCCAGACAATCCGAGAGCTAAAAAAAATTGTTCGTTTCCTCACCTTAATTAGCCTTAATTCCTGTCATTCCCCCCATCAGGAGAACAGAAGTCTCCCGGGGAAGGGTGGGAGCTTAAGCCAACACACTTCGGGGCAAAAGTCATGCTGACATCTTAACAACCGGGGCGGAAGTACAAAGATGTGCAGATAACCCGTTCTGCGCCACTTCGCAGCAAATTTGTCAAACATGAGAAAAAGGAAACACATTCACAAACAAAAGGGTGGTTTAACTTAGCTAGGTTCAAGATAGGTGGTAGAGGCCTTAAGTAAGATCCAAACATGTCTGGTACGTACGGCTGGTAGGTTTGGTTTTCTTGGTACGGTACGGTTGGTACATGTGGTACGGTACGGTTGGTACGCTTAGTAAGGTACGTTTGGTACGCTTACCAACCGTACCGACCGTACCAGTGAACCGTACATAACCGTACCACCGTACCGTACCAGATTAAGGGGGGGGGTCAAGGTGGGGGCGTTTTGGATGTACCAATACTACTTTAGTATTGGTACATCCAAAACGCCCCCCCCTTGACCCCCCCCTTAATCTGGTACGGTACGGTGGTACGGTTATGTACGGTTCACTGGTACGGTCGGTACGGTCGGTACGGTTGGTAAGCGTACCAAACGTACCTTACTAAGCGTACCAAGCGTACCTACCCAAAGCGTACCAAGCGTACCAAGCGTACCAAGCGCACCAAGCGTACCGTACCAAGCGCACCAAGCGTACCAAGCTTAGCGTACCTATCTTATAGCTGGATATCAAGCACCTATCTTGAACTTCGATAAGGTTTAACCACCGGCAAGATCTCTTTGCAAAACTCCTCTCTCCCTTAGCCACACCTAAGACAGGAGAGATCCAAGTTCCAATCCAGAGACACACAGATCAACCCCACACCTCCTCATCTGTTGTCATCCTGAATACAGTGGCGAAAACCCGAAACAATCCGAGAGATAAAGAAAAAATGGCTCGCTTCCTCACCTTCATTCCTTTCATTCCAGGTCCCCCAGCTCTTCCAGCTTTGCTGGAGGTTCAAGTGTGGAAAAGCTTAAAGTCTTGCAGGTATGCTGGTAAGTTTAGAGAAAACTCCGAATCTTAGAATCGTTGAAATTGATACGAGTCTGGGCCATCATGGCCAGCCCCTCATTTATATAGATTCTGGCCGTTTTGTTAGCCAGCCATCTCCCTTGAACAAGGATACGGTCGAGACTATGACGTTTTTCAAACCACCATGTTGCCCCGCCTCGCCTGAGCAAGCATGGTCTAAAATGAAATTCCGATAATCCTAGGGCCTTAAGGGTCTCAGAGAACAAAGCTCTCCATCTACCAGGTGAAGTTGCGACTGGAAAACTGGAGGACGCGACCTTTTTCCAATGTCGAGTTGGTAGAACCCCTTGTTCAATTCCCAAGGCCACCGATTCGGCGGCACCTCGCCGCTTACCTCTATTTGTGTGCCCGAGTGAAATGAGAACCTGTTTCTCCTTAGCAGAACACAGGATGTGTGACGATCTGAGACCCAGAAGCTCCCCGGATCGTAACACAGCGTAGAACCCCAGAATGGGTGAGACCCCAAACGAGTCGTACCCATTCAAAAAAGCCCATCCAGCCATGGCGTGAACTACTTGTTCAGGGATCGGCGGAGCTCTGTTGGGATTTTCATTTATGGGCCAGGTCCGCAGGAGCCTCCAGGCTCCCGGTAGGCGGTGACGAAGACTAGGCTGCAAATCTTGAAGACCTGCGACTGTGTCATTGGCCTGTCCTCTACCGGCTCCCGTGCTCCAGAGATGCTCAAGGAAATCACAGACAAGGGGGTCTCACTTATTATCATTTTTTGGTGGTAGGACCAGGCTCAGGTTTTCCTCCCGAAGGAATGCAAAGAAGGCGGCCGTGGCCTTATCGTACCGTTTACGAGTGGCTGGTTGAACTGTCAAGCTGTGCAAACTACCCAATGATTGTCGACGCTGTGCCCTATCCTGCGCCTCCGTACTTTCAATGATTTTACACTTTGGACTTTGGCATGCCGGAATTTGCTCCGCACCCGCTGACCCCATCGGCTCGGGCGGTCAGCTGGGTCTCATTAATGCGTGGCATGGGTCGCCTGAGCCGTCGTGAGCTGGTGCGCCCACGGGTCAAGGCATGTAGGCACACTGAACTATCCGTCAAATGGAAAAGTCTGGTGTTGAATCGCCATCGAAGACTGGTAAGAATTGCACGCAGCTCAAGGCCGTTGATGTGCTCTTTTTGGTTGGCCCACTTCGAACCACACACCACTTTCCATTTCCAACATTGCGCCGGCACCGTGGCCCTCAACCTGTGGGATTTGACCATCTGTGTGCCAGGGGTAGTCAGCAAAATGTCTTCCCCCTTGACCGAAATTAAGTTCCCCAGCTTGGCTGCCAGCTTAGCGGACTGATCGACCCCGGACTGTTTTGCACCGTTCAATGGTAAACTAAACGAAACAGTCGGGACTGTGCCATCGGACAGCCTTCAGGGCGCAAAAGATCAAGAACCTGGTCGGTCCTCGAACCCAACTTGTACTGGCGCTTCGTTGCTGGTCGCGGTGAGCCTCACGTCAAGGAGAACGACTCCTCGTCGAGGACGGCCTCGGTCACCAGCCCAGCCACCTGAACCTGCTGATGATAGTAACAGCTGATGGAGGGACACTGTATCTCCTCTTTCCCACACAGCTTGGCCCGGACGCCGAAGTGCCCTCCTCATAGCACCCACTTCTTGGCCTTTGCGGCTACCTTGGCTTTGGATTTTGGCGCCATTGCTACCGCTGTTGTCAGACCTTTTTCAAAACGCCCTCTCTGCCTATTGGGAAGCCCCCTTCGACTTCTTTCTCTTGAGTAACCTCGATCTCTGTCGTTGACTTGACTGCTGCTCCCTGCTCGGAATCTCCCGCCGGGGCGGGGGGCTTCAAGCTCTGCCGGTCTCCTCTGCCCTTGTCCGTCTTTCCTGCTGAAATGGGTGGCAGCGCTGCCTCGGACTGAAATGCTACCTAACCCAACAGTGGCTGGGTAGCTGCTGACGTAGCTGTCGACTTCCGCCTGAATCTCTCCTCCATCTCAGCTTTTCTCCTCTCAAGAGGCGCTGCCTTTTCAGCTCTGATAACTTCCGCTTTGTTCGCCTGGTCTTCAGGAGTCTCCTCCACTCCCGAACTCCGCCTGGGCACTGGTGTGGTTCCTTCTTTTGATCTTCTCTTTTTGTCCTTCCTCTTCTTATCTTTCTTCTTCTCCTCAGTTTCTTTCTCAGCTTCGACTGGTGCCGCTACAGGAGCAGGTACAGGAGCAGGTGGACTGACTCCCGGACTCAGGGCCGGCGCTGCCCCGTCTCCCGTGCCCAGACTAGGTAGAGGTGGCGGAGGCCGCTTGAAGCCGAACCGCTCAACCAAATCCGCTAGGGCCTCGGCAGCGTGTCGCGGATCGAAAGCACCTCACCCTCAGTGTGCTGAGGAAGCTGGCTTTTCTCAACCAGGAATCTCAGGCGTAGCAGGGTGCGGCAGCTGCTGCAGGGGGGCCCAACGAAACGGCAGAGCCCACAAATCATAAAAGCTTAAGCCAACACACTTCGGGGCAAAACTCATGCTGACATCTTAACATATCTTAACAACCGGGGCGGAAGTACATATACATCTCTCTCTCTCTCCCACGTTCATTTTTTCTCCTTGAGCTGCAGCCTGTTGCTCCTTATAGCTGTCCTTTTTCCCCATCCAATACTAGATCTTGCACAAGGTTTTTCCATCACGTTAAGGGTCTGTGTGTGTGTGTGCGTATGTGCTATGGCAAGATTGATATATTTGTGTAAATGTCCACCCTTTCGATGCATGCATGTAATGCATACATACATCGCGGTACAAACACATGTTGATAACGCATCATAGTACTGGAATGTACTCATGTGTCCCAACATGCCTGGGCATCCATCGCTACATTGGTATGTAGTGATATGACATTCTGACATACTGGTCTGTGATAGGTGTTTGGTCTGTGGTACTGCACACCGTGTCGTGTCGGATGATACAACAAAGCCTTTCAAGACTGAAAATACCATCTTGACGTGACGTAAGTGGACGTAACACGGATGCAAGTGAATTTCACTGTGCGCAAAGCTGGAACGAAGCTGGCACCTCTAGGTCAAAGCTGAAGAGGCTGTTTGTAGGTTCTACTCCGCCATCCTTGCATTTGAATGCATTTGACACCATATGATAAGCACAAAGTTTTCCTTTTTTCTCCATTCAATTCATTCAGAGTATAGATTTATACAGATTTAAATAGATTTGTATATATAGATTTATACGAAACTGCACTCCGGGTGCACAATAATGCAAGCATGGCATCCTAGCCGCGCTCAGCCTGGGGGCCGAACTTCAGATGCAACGAAGCCACCAAAAATCCAGGCGTGACGGTTGTAGACCACACAGGACTGGCCTCAGATAAGACCCCAAAGACATCCAATCAAAAAACATTACATTAGATTCATCAGATAAAAATAGATAAAAGTAGATAAAACACAACAGATCATAACAGAATGATCAGAATGATAAAAAGCATTTGAGAGGGTCCAGAGTCCAGGGAGTTCAGGATGGTGTGTTTGATGTGCCCACCCCACATCACCAAGACTTCCCCAAGCATGGTGAAACTGTGCTGAAACAATGTGAATCTGTAAAACCAATGCTGTTGCATCGCGTCATGTCGCAGCTGCAGCTCGAACCTGGCACTTTGCAGCATCTGTTTGGGGTTCCGGCCGAAGCGGCACCCAGAATAGGGACGGCCAGGATTAGTGGCTGGAAAGGTGCCTTCATACCTTGTGCAGGGCTGATTGTTATTGACTGCTGAGTCAGCCCTGCCTTGAATCTTGCTTCCGCAGGGTTCCGGGGTTTGCTAGACGTAGCCAGACAATTTATTTGTATGAATGCTTGTTTATTTATTGATTTTTATTGATCTACTTATTATTACTAATTTAAGCAATATCTCGTTCGCTGCATCCACCACTCAGGATTCAGGATCACTGTCGAGGGGCTCGACTTCGGTCCAAACACGTTCTTCCAAGCCTTGGCAGCTCGTTTGTGGTGAAACATAGTGAAACACTTTGCTAGAAATCCCTATCGAGGTCGAAGCCTTAGCAGCTGCCAATAGCAATGGCTGCCAAGTCTCTGAAGCAATATACAAAGGAGCCCGTTGTGTCACCGGGAAAGTGCTGAAGACCACAGAGGAAAAAGAGACCTGGATGAGAAAGGTCCCATATCAAGGGAAGAGGATCCTCTCAAGGTGCGATGAGGTGATTATATATCTACTGAATTCTACTGACATAATTCTGGCATCTGTAAGATCTGTAAGAGAAATCGATGTAGGAATCGAAGTAGGAATCGGTGATCTCTCTGTGATCTCTGCTGTGTCAAACCGGACGGTGACCAAGGCACTGCTGCCATATGGAGCGAGGCTGAAACCATGTCGCTTCTTTGGAGCAATCCCAGCCTCCACCAGTTTCGACGGTGCCTGGCGACTTTCTCAGCGCACGTTGGAAGATCTCGGAAGTTTCATGGACGTATTACGTGTGAAATAATATTGATACATGCATAAAAGTTACATAAATATTAAATATGTGTTTTCTTCAACTTCATGGTTTCCGGTTTGTTGTGCCTTCACCTCCTTGCCGCACCTTGTCATTGTTGGTTGCAGAAACAAACAAAGGTTCCGGTGCTGGGTCGCTGTCTGGAGCTGCATCCATGCTGTAAACCTGCATTTGCAAATTGCAACGAGCAGTTGCAAGGCATGTTCAACACTCTGGAGCTGTCAGACTAAGGCATTTCTGGAGCTTTGAATTTCTGAATTTCTGACTCGAATCTCAAGAGTTACACGACTTGAAACACAAATGAAGTCTTTGCTTGCGAGGTTGGGCCTCATAGCGATGATCAGAACCCCAGAGCAGCGGACAGTGAAGGATGCAAACCTGTCACTATGCAGCGATGTTTCAAAGGGTTCTGTCTGTCTGCCAGCAGTGAATCGTGAGTGTCTTGAACCGCTGGAAGTACATTAACGTATTTGTGCATCCATGTATGAGTATCATATGTATATATATATGCACACATATGTATGGTTGCGTGTGTATATATATATATGCATATTATATACGTATTACATATGTATATTATATATTATTATATATTATTATTATTCTTATTATTATTATTATTGCTATTACTATTATTATTATTATTTATATTTATTATTAATTATGATTATTATTATTACTATTACTATTATTATTATTGTTATTACTATTATTATTACTATTATTATTATTGTTATTATTATTATTCTTAGTATTATTATATATATATAAAAGGAAAAAAAAACATAGATAGATACATAGAGTATACATGCTTATCACTTATCTATACAGCTCTCGTTCTGTGACCTTCTCTGGATTGGCCGGCGACTGCACTGCCGCATTCACACTCAGCAGCGGTAGCTCTTCAGCCTGTGACACGAGGATCATGTTGCGACTATGCACTGAGGTTGCCTACACATGCACCAGCAAAGTCAGGGCACCAATTGACATAATGCGGAAGGAGCATGGCACCCACAACATATCACAACATCGCCATCATGGGACAGGGACCCACCACGGCCCACCTCATTCCAGCTGCTTTTTGCTGCAACAAAGCGCCGAAATTGAGATGTACCACCAGCGCTTTCGAAGACCAGAACGTCACCATCCTTCTCATCAAGTGATCACTAGTGATCGAAGTGCTCTAAGCATTCAAAATGCTGAACTCAGGTGCTGAAACATGTCAAATCGATTCAAATTGTGTGATTTCCATTGACCGTTTTGGAGTTCTCCCTCAGAAACATCCGCACCTTGACTGGCACAATCTCATACCATCTGCTCGCACCAGGTTGCGACCCCAGGGCATCCGGCAAATCCTCCTGGGCGCAACGGATTGCCAGGGTAAGTTGTCATTAGGGCGTCATGAGAACTTCATGAGAACTTCATGAGAACTTCATGAAAGTCATATGGGTTCCCAATGGGTTCCCGATGGGTTCCCAATGGGTTCCCAATGGTTCCCATACGATACGAAGCTCTGATCGCTCTCCCGCCTCAAGGATGAGGTCCCAGAACAAAGTACGCGCGGAATGCATAGCCGCCATGGCCACGGGTCACAAGACAGCATTTGCCCCACAAAGATTCAACAAGATTTCACTCAGAAGTATCTTATGCGGACATTTTGGCCGCAAGGATGTTCACATAACATCTTGTACTGTAAATGTCGAGCAAGAACGTCTTGCCAGCTTAGCACTAGGTTGAAGGGCCTGTCGCATGTACTAGCACTAGAGTAGCTGCCGAAGCATCAACTATTTTCGATGGCACGGTGTCTGCGCTACCGACGGACACCAAATGTAATGTTTGACAAGATGAATGCTTGCTCGTCAGAGGATGCGCTTCTGAGAGCATTCCTATGCCTATGCGTCAGAGGCTTGGTCCAAACAGCTTTGGCTGTCAAGTGCGTTCTTGTTTGCGATATTCGATTGATTAATATTGTCATCGAAAGATCTTGCACTCTAAGCAGGCTTTCGTCAGAATGTGTCTGGTATCAGCCCAATAAGCGGTACACATTTACTCCTTTCATCCTTTTGCATCCTTTTGCAGTTTCCGGATGTTTCCAGGGTTTTGGAGCGCAGCTTCATCGGCGGCCTGTCAAGCCAATCACCAACATCACCACCAGCAGCATGCGGTGAGATAATGAAAAAGTGCTGGGAGTCTTCCAGAATGTCCTTGCAGCAAGACCCTTGTTTATGGCGGCGCTTGCGAATGGTGGATCAATCCAGGGATCTATGTAAGGCTTCCGAATTCACAGGACTTTTGAAAGCCAAAGTTTGCAATTGAAAAACAACGCATAGTCAGTTCATAAACATGTGAATCTCTCTGAAGCAACCCTTTTCAAGGAATGCAACAGCACCCGTCACAAGTACTTAACCTTGGCTGAGCCAAACATTTAGCCAAACATTCGCGATGTAAATTTCCTGCAAGGCCAACAGTCTAAATGCACGTCCCAGAGAAGTACACTCGAGGGGGGAAACAGAATCATATGTAGTTTTATGGCCCTTGGCTCTCTGGATGCTATGTAAATCGAAGCCATGAAAGCTTGGAACTGGGAAGATTGCGGCAGAGAAATTGAGCCGAGCATCAAGGACACCTGATATCATGGGATGGTGAATATCCTTCAAGCGTCGTAGCCGATCACCGACTTGTTGAACATCAAAAAGTCGCATTTTTTCTACTGCTTTGCACCTTGAGCAGGCCCTGTGTTCACACAACAACTTCAAGTTTATAAAATAAGCTAGTTTCAGCACGTCAACTGTGAAAAATGTACTGATCACGACCATGAAAGAAGGCAATTCGCACGAGTCAAGGAACGTTTTCAAGGTCCCAGATCTGCGATCCTGACGACAATTGCGTGCCATTCGAAAGTTATTGCAGAAGGGGGGCAGTGCGATGCACGCCGCCCTCAAGAAAACATGAACATGCTGCGTGTGTGTGTGTGCGCGCGCATGCCTGAATGCCTGGACGCATGCCTTTTTTGGGCATTGATGCATGTATGCATGTATGTCTGTCTGTCTGTCTGTCTGTCTGTATGTGTGTCTGTATATACATATGCACACATACATTGCATGACATGATGACATGACATTACATTACATTACATTGCATTACATTATATTACATTGCATACATTACATTAATGCATTGCATTGCATTGCATTGCATTACATTACATTACATTACAGTACATTACATTACATACATACATTACATTAATGAATTGCATTGCATTGCATTGCATTGCATTGCATTACATTACATTTCAGTGTGTGTGTGTCTGTGTGTCTCTATGTATGCATGCATGTATGTACATGTACATGTATTTACGTCCGTGTGGACAGGAACATGGATGAACTGATATGGCGTCACACATCTGACGTGCAAAATGTGAAGCAACGAATCGCCTTGATAACCTGCAGAGCGCCAAATGCCCAAAGACCCAAATCATACTCGAAAGTGTAGTACTGTTGCCTGGGCAAGGTTGGCACATGCCAGGAAGCAGCATGCAGCATGCAGCATCATTCAGTCCGCCATTCGCCCCTTCTTGAGACAGGCTACAGAACGTAGCTGCGCACCCCCACCGCTAAAGTGTTGGTCACAGGCCTCACACCAAGAAGTGAAAGGCATGTTACGCTCCGGAGTTCTCAGCTTACCCACCCGAAAAGGATGGTAATAAAAATTTGACTCCTGAAACTCTAGGGCCTATGCGGCCTATGCGGCCTATGCGGCACTTCTTCAGCATCCCATCATTTCCAACAATCTCATGTCAACACAAGTTCGCTCGTTAAGGCCTGAAACGGCAACTATATGAGGCCACAAGACAAATTCTCCAGTGCAGTCGTATCGAAAGGATCATGGAAAAACACGCATAGCGATGCTTCGAACGAATTCCCCCCTATGCTTGGTCAATTTCGATGGTTGCAGCCAAGCAACAAGTGGGCAGAAAAAGGTGACGGCATCACGCTAGAAAGCAGATGCTCAAACAGGAATGAAGAAGCACAAGCTGTGCTTTGGTTCAAGGGAACAATATGTTCTGCACAATGTCTAGCAGGCAGGCAGTGTGGATTGGCGTGCTCTAAATCAATGCATCTGCCACCTGAACTGAGAGGAACCAAATGCTGCGGTTTCCATCAAGATCAGAACAACTGCAGCCAACACCAGTGCAATCCACACGGTTACAAATCCTTGTCACTACCTCACTACCACCATAAAAGTGCCAATGCAGTCACATGCAGCTTTGCAGACTCTATGAACCCTTTTCTCGCTTAAGGTGGCAGGTACTCAGGTGGACTCACTTTCCATGCTTGGGCTCCCACCGCCTCTGCTTTGGAGGCAAATGCCCAATTAACGCCATCCAGACTCACTGGCTCGACCTGCAAAAGATACAACTGAAAGAATAGGATACATGATACATGGGATACATAGGATACATATGGATACATAGGATATTTAAGATAGGATGGGATGGGATGGGATGGGATAGGCAAATAAATAGATAGGGTAGAAAAGCCGCCTGGGCGCTACGACCGGCTGCTGGAAGACTGTCAAGAGCTGCGGCATCGCACGCTTCGACCACCCAGGCGGACGGGACAACGCATGGGATACCCTGTCGGAGTCTATCACAGAGTCTATCAGCACCCCACGCCAACTGAAAGTTGCCACTCCCAACAAGCGAGCCTTCACGGTATGTATCATGACAAAACTGGTTGGGAATGATGGGACTGGTAGAGTTGGAGCGAATTTGTCGAGGCAGCGTACCAAGTGGAGGTGCTTGCAGCCATGTCTGTCATGAGGACCTAAAAATATTAAAAATCATACAGATAATATAAAAAATTGAAAAAGAACTTTGACGCAGCTGACGTCGTGCCTGGTCCATTTCTGCCTCTTCGTCGGCGTCGAAAACACCTGTCTCTGGTGTTTTTACCAGGGACTGCAGGTAAATCCAGCCTCAATAACGCCGGCTCGGAACAGCACGATGCTGATCATACAACCTTTGCCAGCCTGTACATGGCGAAACCTGATTTTGTTGATTGAGAAACGAATACCAATGCAGATGCTTAAGATACGTGCAAATACGGGACGCCATCGTATACCTGATTCGTCCCAGGCACCGTGTGGACCACTAGAAGGTTCGTAGACAACCTGCACCGCCAAGACCACAGCCTCGAGAGTCGGCGCTGCGGTCATGATCTGATACAAAGTTATTCTGTCACCCGTATTCGAGACCAACTACAGTATATTACATTTTTTGTCCATTTGCACATAAATATATCTATGTATTTACATAGACATAAAACAAACAAACAAACAAACAAACAAACAAACAAGCAAGCAAGCAAGCAAACAAACATACATACTTACATACTTGCATACTTACATACATTACATTACATTACATTACATTACAGTACAGTACAGTACATTACATTACATTACATACATACATCCATCCATACATATATGCATACACACATACACACATACAAACAAACACACACACACAGACATACATACATCCATCCATACATACATACATACACACATACACACATACAAACACACACACACAGACATACATACATACATACACACATACACACATACAAACACACACAGACATACATACATACATACATACAGAAATACAGACATACAGACATACAGACATACAGACATACAGGCATACATACATACATACATACATACATGCACATATAAATAATATCAATACATCTAAAAATTGCATGTAGATGTAAATACACAATTGAATATATATATATATAGATTTATGTACACATATGCCAAATATGTTTATTTACATACACTACATAAAATTTCATGTTTTAACTTCGGGACCATACATTATATATCTTACATCATCTATTGTACATGATGCATTTATATTATGTATTAGCTACTTTATTTGATATAAAAAAAAATATTATATGCTAAATATGATATAATATGTATTATATGTATTACGTATTTTTTAAAGATATGTTCTGGTAAATATATATGTTACATATTAATTTTTAAATTTTGAAACTTATATATTATACATAATCTACTATGTAATAATAAAATATAATATAAACTAACTATCTGTTATATACAATATATCTTGTATGTTATATTATAAAAAAAACATATATTATATAGGTGTTCTGCCGCGCTCATTTTGTCTCCGGTTTGCTCCTTTCTGTCTGTCCTGTTTCACAGGACCATCATTGGATGCTGGTTCATCCATTCTACCTCCATGCCCCGGTGGGTGTGGTTTTGGGAGAGGCTTGAGGCGGCGTCGTCGGGAATTCTCTTGCCCTCACGCCTATTGCCAGGTGTTCTGCCGCGCTCATTTTGTCTCCGGTTTGCTCGTTTCTGTCCTTTTTCACAGGACCATCATTGGATGCTGGTTCATCCATTCTACCTCCATGCCTCCAGGGGGAGATAGAGAGAGAGAGAGATAGATAGATAGATAGATAGGTAGGTAGATAGATAGATCGATCGATCGATCGATAGATAGATAGTTAGATAGATAGATAGGTAGGTAGGTAGATAGATGGATGGATAGATAGATAGATGGATAGATAGATAGACTAGCATCTTCACATGCTGTGTTGCTGCTGCATGTTGACAGCAGCTGTCTCCATTGCATAACTGTGCAATTCTTTGAGTCAGGGGTTCGGCGAGTTGGAGTTTGAAAACGAATTTGTCTGCAGTTGCATTTTGACAGCAGCCGTTTCCATTGCAGAAATCCATCAAGTGGTCTTGGCCCAGACGGAGCAGATCGGAGAACGGAGTGTGTTCTGGCAGGTCCCCGTGGATGCAGCCGCCAAGGACACCGTCATGAACTACTTTGACCAACTCGCCACGGCAGAGCTGGCAGTAGATGAACCCCTTACCTTTGAACCCAAATGGACGCCTGTCAAGAGGCTGCATGCCGTCAGAGACAACATGCCGGAAGAGGCACGTAGCTCCAAAGCTTGGCTGAACACTTTACCGAAATCATCCGAAGTCGCAGCCACCCAATGCGACGAAGCGATGTGAGCTTATGTTTGCTCCGCAGCAGTCAGTCGGAGACTGGTCTTGAAGCGTCCTGCTGATTTTCCTAGCCCCGCATGCTTGTGCAATCATCCGAAGTCGCAGCCGCCCAATGCGACGAAGAGATGTGAGCTTATGTTTGCTCCGCAGCAGTCAGTCGGAGACTGGTCTTGAAGCGCCCTGCTGATTTTCCTAGCTCCGCGTGCTTTGGGCAATGAGGCATAGAGATTTCTCGCATTTGACTGCTGAATTTTCCCCAGCTTTGTGCAAATTTAACGCGACTTGTTGACTTCGCTGACCCAAAAAAAAAATATATGGCTGTTCAGAAGCAGGGCACGGCGATGTATCAACTCAGCTCATTCAGATTGATTGCTTGTGAGCTAATAATGGCTTGTCTATTCATTGTGTCTTCTCAGGTCATGATGCTGGTCTATGGCACTTGGACAACCGATATGCCTAGAAGCAAAAAATTCTGCAAAGCAACGGGGGGGATTATATACACATATGAACTGAAACATACATCATCGGATTCTTGTATATATGCCGCCAACATATCACCATATCACCATATGACCATACACACGCACAACCACGCACTCGCGTACACACACACACATATATGTACACAGACACGCACAACATGAACACAGCACATATACATCATCACAACATCACGTACCAAAACATCACTTGACGCATCATAACTTCACGTCAAATGCAACAAGATCAGTATATTTACGTTTGCATACATTTACATTGCTACCACCCAACCTCACATGACACGAAAATAATATCACCTCACACACACATACACATACGTATAACATCCACATGTACATCACATATATTACAAACTGCCTCTTACACCCGGTACACATATCGTTAACACACTACCAAAGTGACACACCTGTACATGCACATACATACATACACACAAACTCACCAACCATCACCCCTCCATCACTCTCATACTTCCTCTTCCCTTGTTGCTTTTCCATGCTCAGTCTGAGTCTGGTGAAGTTGTTAACATGTGGGGTTATCCGGTCCTATAATTTGATCTTCTTCTTTCTTCTTCTCTTCTCCTCTCTTCTCTGACTCTTCCCATCTCTGCTTTTCATCTGTCCATATTGTCGGAAGTTTGACTTCTAAACTTCCTTCGGTAATATATGATGTGCAATATATATATATGTGAATATAATATATAAGATCTAAAATACAAACTATAATACTTAATGCAAAATGTATAATCAAAATAATATATAATATTTTTAATATATATATGTGTGTATATATATATATTATACTAATAATAATAATGATAATAATAATAATAAATAGTATATCCTATATTTATTCAAAAAGCGTGTGTTATTTTCATTTGGTATATATTATGTATTATGTATTATGTATTATATATTGTGTAATTTATGGTATGTTTTGAATTGCACAACACAACATAATATAACATAACACGCACACATATATAGTTAATATATGTAAATTACTACATTTTAGATAAAATATTGTAGCTGTAATATATTATATGCAGCGTACACGTATGCAATATGTATGTGTGAATATGCT